ATGTGGCCTGGATCCTATATTAGAGATCCCAGTGTTGGTCGCACTCATCGGGGCAGTCGTGATATCGACCAGCGTAGCCGCTGACGACCCACCCCAAGAACTGGTAGGTGCAGTCGTAGGCGTAGCTGAAGTGGAAGCTGTCGGCCTGAAAGACAGCACCACCAGCTGCGCGATGACCGAGTCCAACGGGTCGCCCGCTTGGTCGTCATCTGCATTAGGTCGTCGAGGATGTGGTGTATTCCTGACATCTGGGGCCTGGTCGCCCAGCACTCGTCGGAACATCGCTCGGACCTCGTCGAGAGCTCTCCAGTGTCTGTGCTCAAGCCTTTGAGCGGCGCCAGGCTCTCGTCCAGCGAGGCGCATGAACCAGGCCTCTCGGCGTCCCTCAGATTGCCGCCATGCCGTAGAACATAGCTCATCACATATATATTTGAAGGCTCCTTCCAGTAAGCCAAGTCAAGAGCAACTGACGTAAAGGATTAGTGGCATCACGTCCTATCAAGGCGGATAAAAACGGCAGTACACCATTCAACCCACGGACGTCCATCCCGTGGGATCTGTGTGTGGCTGTCGAACCAGAGAGCCGCCCAGTCGCGTAAGTTCTGGCGCATGTCCTGGTAGTCCTGCACTGGGTCAGGAGGTGCAGGCATCCGTGCTGGATGGAGGTGTCCTGGACTGCTGCCCCACGTCGCGCCACCGACTGCGGGCTCGCCATGAGAAAGAGGAGTCCAGCAAAACCCTGCGCCCCCACCCCCACTCGCTGAGTCCCCCGCCTCCTGTGGAAGGGGTGCCCTGGGGGATGGTGGGCGCAGGCGCGACTGCGAACCTGAGCTGCCACAGGCAACCCAGGATTTTCGATCTAACGCCTGATGCCCTCTGTCATCAGCATGCACAGGAACAAAAACATCTGGCAGCGGACCAGGATCCGCACGTAGGCGCTCACAGCCACCATCTGCCTCAGCAGGTCCTCCGAGCGCTCTAGTATCCTGCTCGTGGATCCCGAAGAACTCATCCTGGTCGGAGCCAGGGTCGGCACACAACTGCTCGAAGTCGTCGCCGAAATCGAAGATACGGGAGTCTGCCGCCATTGCGCCGATAGTAGCAATCAGGAGCACAGGCCTAAGCCGCAACCTTGGGCTTCTTGGCCAGCAGCTTCTGGCACGAGTCCAGCTGGCGCTTGGCCTGGGCCCGCAGCTCCGCCTCATCAGCGCTGGCTTCCATCCCAGCGTCAGCAACAAATGTCCGAAGATCTTCCAGGTCCATATCTTCAGGTACAGGCATGTCAAAGCACTCGGGCCGAACAGGCTGCTCAGCTTGCTGCTGTGACGTCTCGGGAGGTCGCTGCTGCTGTTGTTGCTGCTGCTGTTGCGCGCGAAGCTGCTCTTGCTGTTCAGTTCGCTGCTTCCGAACTTGCTCAAGCCAGGGCTCCACGAACTGAGCGCAACTGGCGGCCAACTGCGCACCGCCACCGAGGGGCTGAACCAGGCTCTGCAGTTGCCCCAGACTGGCCGTGAAGGTGTCAAAGACCGCTTGGCCGCTGCCTTCAGGAGCATGAGTGACCTGCTCAGGTGTACGAGTACGCAGCAACTCCATCTGCTCCCTCTGCATCTGCACCCGAGCCTTTTCTTTGGTCCCCAACTGCTGCTTGAGATCCACCAACAAGGCTTGTTTTTCAGCGATGGCCTGCTCTTCCGACTCGATGGTGGCCTTGAGCTTCGCAATCTGCTGATCAGCCTTCTGAATCTTATTGCCAATGCCATGCACCTGCGCACCCAACGGCTTAGCATCGTGGATCTCCTGCCGCAACTTTCGTAACGATGTTTGAGCTTCCTCATAGCCGACAACAGTCTGCGGTGCAGCGCCTTTGACTTTGGCAGCCAGCTCGAGGGAGGCCACCACCTGCTCCAGCGCCTCCAGCTCCTGCTGCTTACTCTGGGCGTCGTCCTTAGTGGTGGCGGCATCAGACTGCGGAGGCGACTGCTGCACGTTCTCAGTCGGCCTGGTCCGAGACAGCTGCTGCACCTGCTTCCGAAGGGCCGCCAACTCCTTATCCTTGGCCTCCAGCACCGCCCGAGTATTGCCCCCAGCAGCAGGTGCACGAACACTGGGCGTAGGAGAAGGTAGGTCTTGTAGACACGTCCTTTGGCCCCACCACACAAGAAGCAAGAAACAGCATCTGCATGATTGTGCCAAGGCTCGCCAGTTTTCGCATGTGTGCAGTGCCTGCACACCCATCTCTTGGCCCGTGCTGCCCTGTCTCTTGCCGCAACACCTTTCGGCGGCGCCATGATGCCCGCACAAAACGAGAGACAAGAGCAGTGACGGCCGTACCGTAGCCAGGCAGCCTGGCCGTGGCGACAAAACTGATGAGGGAGCCCAACCCCTCGGTGTAGGCGGTAAGCTGTCGAGCGCAAGCGCTCTGGCACTGCCGCGGACTAGCGGTCTCCGTGGAAGCCAATACGGGCTCAGCCCGCAAAAGCATTAGCCTTGAGCCAAAATGGCTACGGAGGAGAGAGGGAGGAGGAGGAGGAGGAGGAGGAGGAGGAGGAGGAGGAGGAGGAAGAAGAGGAGGAGGAGGAGGGGGAGGAGGGGGAGGAGGAGGAGGAATAGGAGGAGGAGGAGGAGGAGGGGGAGGAGGAGGAGGAGGAGGAGGAGGAGGGAGGAGGATGATGATGATGATGAGGAGGAGGAGGAGGAGGAGGACCAGTGTAAACCCAAGACTCCTCAACGATATTGCAACAGACCCTCCCTGCAAGTTCCTTCTCCCTAGGCCCTTTCAAGGTTTCATATTCACTGAGGGAAGTGCCTCGTTGGAAGACAACCGCTTGAAAATCCGGAACTTCACCAGAACTCCATTTCTGGGACTCCAACGCTGCGACTCACGGTTGTTTTTGCGTCCTGATGTACTTGAACTACGCCAGAACATTATTTTTGAAACTTCGGCGCCACGAATCAACGTAATTGTTGCGCCCTGACAGCCCGACATCGTGCCAAAGCACCAATATGGGGATGAGCCTTGAGAATCATTGAAACTGTTGCAAACGTTTAAACAGAATGTGCGCGGCGCTTAGGCGAGAGCCACATTTTGAAAAGGAGCCGCCCTCCATCCGTGAATCTGCTTCGATCTTCAAAAGACGAATGTGCGCGGCGCTAACGCGAGAGCTACATTTTGAAAACGGCCCGCCCTTCATCGGTGAAAATGTCCCATGTTTGTTAACGAATGTGCGCAGCGCTGAGGCGAGAGACACATATTGAAAACGGCCCGCCCTTCATCTGTGAAAGTGTTGCAAGTTTTAAGACGAATGTGCGCGGCGCTAAGGCGAGAGCCACATCAAAACAAAAACCATCAATTCGTGAAACTGTTGCAATTGTCAAGCTTCAGGATCATGATTTTCAAATCGCAAGCTTCAGTTCTCTCAAACGGTTGTAAGTGTTGAGGAAGTCTCCGGCGAAACGCCCAGCCCGCCCTCTCGACCAGCCTCGGGGTGCGACAGCGAGGATTTCTTCAGATAAGGAATGGAGTGGAGGAGGAGGAGAAAGATAGGAGAAGGGAAGGACACTTTGTCCTGATGGGCATTTCCGTCGTGTCGTAACGATTCGACGGCTTCTCACTTTCGGGCCCGGCTAGCATGCTACGGGTGGGCTCACCGTTCCGACTCGTTCCGAGGAGGAATGAGGAGTGAAGAGGGAGGAGAGAGGAGGGAGGAGGAAAGCAAGCTAGGCGCGCTTGCGCCATCTCTGACATCCTTCTCCTCCCTCCCATCCCTTCCCATTGCGCTGATTGTTCTCTAGCCGGAAACGCGTGCCACAGCGTACTTGAAGTTCCCCAAAGGACCCCATCGTGTCACGCGCAATCGGAGGCGGGGAGCGGCGTACAGCTGAGGAGACGATGAGCAGGAGGGAAGGGAGAGGGATGCGGAAAGAGGAGAACGAGGCGGATCAGCAGCAGCAGCAGCAGCAGCAGCAGGAGCTGGAGTGGGAGAAGCGGCAGGAGCAGGACGAGCAGGGGAACGCAGGGGAGGGCAAAGGAGCGGGGCGACATCGACGAGAAAACACTCGGATCTAGAAAAGTGGCCCGCGCTGTGGTGGGAGCGCCATTCTGGTCGATGGGAGCAAAGCGCCGATCCTAAAAGTCGGCCCACGCTGCAGCGGCAGTACCGTTTCGACCAGAAACGTCCCGGTTGAAACGAACAGCATCTGAGGAAATTAAGATTTTGAAATTTTGTGTGCGCGGAAGGGGTCGTTCCACTCCCTGGGCATCTTCAGGTGAGAGGAGAGCAGTATTCATATGGAGAAGTTGTGGACAGAAGATAGGTGAGAGGAGAAAGGAGGATGATGATAAGGCGCAGGGGATGGAGACGGGGAGCTGGAGGGAGAGCAAGGGGAATCTCCTCCTCGTCGTCTCTCCTCCTGCTCCTGCTTGCACCCCTATCCGCCTCCTTCGCATCTTACTCCTCCAGCTTAGGGGAAGAGGAGGAGGACGATGAGGAGGAGGAGGAGGAGAAAGAGGATAGAAAGAACCGATGAGCCAGAGCTTGAGGAGAGGGAAGGTGTAATTATCACGATCGCCGCATTCGCTGCCGCCGCCGTCGCCCTCGTCGCCATCGCCCTCGCCCTCGATCGTCCCTCGTCGCCGTGCCCGTCGCCGTCTCCGTCGCCGTCGCCGTCGTCGGCGTGTTCGTCATGGACAGTTTTGCTCCCGCCCCAGATCCTGACCCCCGGACGTCCGACGTCTCGAAAACATTGAAACATCGCGAGAGATCATGATCGGAGCCCTGGACCCCGTCTTGATGCGGCATTTCTCGAGCTGGATCGATCTGTGGGGGTCCAGGGGGCCCGACATTGGGCGAAAACGCCCGTTGTGAAAGAATTGCAACGCCTGGATCTCAGGGCAGGCCGTCGTCGTCATTCGCCGGCGTCCGTCGCCGCCGTTGCTCGCCGTCGTCCCCGGAGGCCGCTGCGCCCGCGCAGATCGCGGCGGCGCCCGGCGCCGGGGCGCCGCCGGCGCCGCCAGCCTCCGCGCCCCCTCCGCCTGGCGCGCCGCCGCCGCCGCCGGGTGCCGGAGTCGTCGTGGACGTCGTCGTGGTCGTCGTGGTCATCGTGGTCGGCGTCGTGGTCGTCGACGTCGTCGTCGTGGTCGTCGTCGTGGTTGTTGTCGTCGACGTCCTCGTCGTCGTCGTCGTCAGCGTCGTCGTCGTCGACGTCGGGTGCCGTCGTCGTCGTCGTCGTGGTCGTTGTGGTCGTCGTCGTCGTGGTCGTCGTCACGGTCGTCGTCACGGTCGTCGTCGTGGTCGTGGTCGTGGTCGTCCCCGTCGACGTCGTCGCCGTCGTCGTCGTCGTCGCCGTTGTCGTCGTCGTCGTCGTCGTGGTCGTCGTCGTCGTCGTCGTGGTCGTCGTGGTCGTCGTGGTCGTCGTGGTCGCCGTGGTCGTCGTGGTCGTCGTGGTCGTCGTGGTCGTCGTGGTCGTCGTCGTCGTGGTCGTGGTCGTCGTTGTCGTCGTCGTCGTCGTCGTCGTCGTCGTGGTCGTCGTCGTCGTCGCCGTCGCCGTCGCCGTCGACGTCGTCGTCGTCGTCGTCTTCGACGTCCTTGTCGTCGTCGCCGTCGTCGCCGTCGTCGATGTCGGGTGCCGCCGTCGTCGTCGTCGTCGTCGTCGTCGTTGGCGCTGGGGTAGGGGAGGGAAAGGAACATCCGAGGAAGAGTGAGTGCCGATTCCGCTCTCTCGTCCTGGAGAGCTCTTATCGCCTCTGTTGGATGCTCCCTCGAATTCTGGTCAGAGCGCACCCCAGGAAAGATCTGTGGGGGAAGTAGCGCTATGGTACCTTCTTTGTCATGCCGGAGGAGGGATCGGCGAGGTAGAGGAGAAGGGACGCCGCAGCCTTGCCGTGTGGAAGGCCTTCAGTGGCCCGGGTGGCAGAGCGGCGATCTCGCCAGCGGCGGTGTCAGGAAGGCAGGCGAGGCGGATGGCCAGGAGGAAGGCGACGGGTGGCAGGAGGACGCGTGTCAGGAGGAGGGCGCGGACGAGGACGCGGACGAGAGAGGAGGCGGAGGAGCATGACCGAGCAGGACGAGGACGAGCACGGGCAGGAGGAGGGCCAGGAGGAGGAGGAGGGCCGTGGGTGAGGACGAGGACCAGGAAGCCGACGACCTCCCGCGCCCGAGAGGTGCCAGCCCGCCCCCGCCCCCGCCAGAGAAGCTGCCCGGCGTCGGCATGTGCGGCGACGAGCCGTGGTACCACGACGCGGACATCCGCCAGGGGCTCTACGACAAGGCCCCGAGGGCAGCCGCAGCGAGAGCCCGCGGGAGCAGCAGGAGGGCAGCCGCCATAGGAGAGAGAGGGGGTGTCGCCGCCTCGCGGTCCGCTGAAGCCGCGCGCGCCCGCCGGCGCCCCGGCTCCAACCGCAGCCCCGCCTCGGCCGCGCCGGCAAGGGTGGCTCCTCCTCCTCCGCCTCCTCCTCCTCCTCCTCCTCCTCCTCCTCGTCCTCTCCCTCCCCCCCTCCTCCTCCCCGTCCCTCTCCCCCTTCCCCCTCCCTCTCCTCGCGAAGCGGCCCGTCCGTGGCGCGCAGGGGCCTCCCAGGCTCGAGGATCAACGCCCCTGGAGGTTCTGGGCCCCTCTCGCCTCCAGCGGGGCCTCTCGGGCTGGTGTCCGCCCGCGTGTACGCACAGTCAACCCGCAGGCGGCCTCCGACCTCGCGAAGGGGCCCGTCTTGTGGCGCGCAGGGGCCTCCTGGGCTCGAGGATCGAGGTCCCTGGAAGATCTGGGCCCCTCTCGGGCCTCCAGCGGGGCCTCTCGGGCTGGTGTCCGCCCTCTCGCACGCACAGTCAACCCGCAGGCGGCCTGCGTAGGCCTGGGGAGCCCCGTGGCTCACAGGGGGAGAGGGTGCCGATACTCCTGCCCTTTGCCCGTTCGCCCCTCCTTTCGGCCTCCCATGGGAGGCCCTCGTCGCCACCGCTGGATTCGCCTCGAAATGCTGGCCAGAACGCGCCCCGGGAGAGATCCGGGGAATACAGTCAACCCGCATAGCAAGGATGAGCGACTTCCCAAGGTTAGCATTGCATCCTTCCCCTTCGGCCCATTATTGGCCGCTTCAGCTGGCCGCGCCCCGCTCGCGAAGTGTCGGCATGGCCTTCCAAGGCCCTGGCATCCTCATCGTGCGTCCTTATTATACGGGTTGACTGTACATCCCCGGCGCCGACTGCCTCTCGGAGGCTCCAGGTGTGGGCGAGGGACCCGACGATATGATTTGTCCAACCCTGGCGTTGGAGCCAGCTGGGGGTCTGAGGTGGCCCAGCACTGGTTGCGGCCAGCAGGACGGGCGGGCAGGTTCGAGGTTCAGGGTTCGGGAAAGTGTTTTGCCCTCTTCGCCCTCTGGGGGCCGTTTTCAGGCCCTGGGACCCTCAAAAACAGATCTGGGGTTTGGCTTTTCAACCCAGGCATTTCGCACAGATTTCGGCCTTGCCGTGGCCGCTATCGGGCCCCAGGACCATCAACAATGGATCCAGGACGAAGGACTATGAACCCCGTGGCCAGGGTCCATTTCGGTCCGATCGATCCGATCCGACATCGGTTCGATTCCGATTTTCCGACGGCCCGATAAGGTCCGATGCTTGCGTGGCGCTGTTGTGCATTCTGGCGCAGCCGATCCGATTCGATTCCGATTCCGTGCAGATGCAGCCCGGCCCGACGGGCCCTCCAGTTCGATCCGATTTCGCACCCGGGTGGGTGTCAGGGCTTGGTGGCGCAGGGGCTTGCCGTGCTCGAAGATCCAGGGCCCATGGCCTCCAAGGATGGTTCCGAAGACCTCCAGGGCATCTCCGACGAGAGAAGAAGATACCGATACTAGGAGGACAGAACATCGGAGGAGGAAAAGGTACCCAACATGCTACCCTCCGCCCGTTCTCCCCTTCTCGGGCCTCCTGGGAGGGTCTCGTCGCCACCGCTGAATTCGCCTCGGAGTTCTGGTCAGAACGCACCCCAGGAGACGGCCGACGAGGAAAATCGCAGGCGATTTTTCGCCCCAAAACTCCACGACTTTTCGACGACCAGTTTAGCCGCTCAGAAAGAGGGGGTAGCCCTGGGATGCACCCCAGGGGGGCTATTCGGACGCCCCCCCCATCGTATATCCCAGGGTTGGCCCCGAATCCTTAGTTCATTCGAAAACAATCACGCAGCCTGGGATAGAGATCGACATACCCCTTGTTAGTGTCGGGAAGACGCAGGGCCCGAGTTTGCGGGGACTCGAGATTGTGGATTTTTTTGTCGGCCAGTCCCAACATGGGTTGCGATGGCCAAGTTTCTGAGAGATGTCTGCAGCAGGAGCTCGTGGCAAATTTCAGACTGTGTCACGGTCAGGTCAACTCGAGTCCCCCAAATTCGACTTGTACGTCTCCCCGATTGAGGGGCGTGGGGCCCAAGGGGATCATGCATAAGGGGGATCCTTGCCTCTGATATGGTTGCAGGCACGACGCGGGTATAAGTCTAAGTGCAGTCGAGCTTGATTAGTAGGTCGACCGTTCCAGATCAAGGGTGCCCTTGTGTCCTGTGCGTCGCGTCTCCCATGTTCTCGGCATTCCTGAGGCAATGTGGCCCTCGCGAGGGTCTTGTACCCTCTCGCGTGTCCTATCCAATCGAAAACTCGACTGCACGCCAGACCGATCAGCATACCAGAGGGCTGGAGCACGGAGAACCAACATATTATATTGGACTTCTGCTCGGAGCAGCTCGGATTTCGGTTGACCGGCTCCTTCAGTGACCAGAAGGGGGGCCGGAGGAAGAGAAGGGCGACGACGACGACGACGAAGGGAGAGGAGCAGCACCGGGAGCAGAGCGAGAGAAGATGGAGGGTTGATGAGCTGGAGGAGCAGCAGTTTGTATCTCAGTTGATCGGAGCAGCTTGGATTACGGTGGATCGGTTTTTCCAGTGACCGGAATGGGGCGGAGGAGGAGGAGGAGGGCGAGAAGGAAGGTTGGAGGAGCAGCCATCCATGGCAACTGTGCCCTCCGCGCCCGCTGCTTCCAGGTCGTGGCCGCGCACGCCGAGCAGAAAATCCTGGTGGGCCGGAGACCCCCTCGCTGCACCCGCCCGTCCCCTGATGTCCGACGGTATACTTTTTTGGGTTTGTGTGTGTGCGTGTGCCTACTCTCCCTCCCGGGCTGGCGCCTTATCGTTCTCCTCTCTCCCTCTGCGTGGTGGCCGAATTCACCTAACGCACCCCGTTTTGCTTTGCGCGCCAGCGCAGTCCCTCTCCCTAGCCGCCGACGCAAGAAGGTGTGTGCGTGTATGTGTGTGTGTGTGTGTGTGCGTGCGTGCGTGCGTGCGTGCGTGCGTGCGTGCGTGCGTGCGTGTGTGCGTGTGTGCGTGTGTGCGTGTGTGCGTGTGTGCGTGTGTGCGGGTGTGCGGGTGTGCGGGTGTGCGGGTGTGCGGGTGTGCGTGTGTGCGTGTGTGTGTGTGTGTGTGTGTGTGTGTGTGCGTGTGTGCGTGTGTGCGGGTGTGCGGGTGTGCGGGTGTGCGGGTGTGCGGGTGTGCGGGTGTGCGTGTGTGCGTGTGTGTGTGTGCGTGTGTGTGTGTGTGTCTGTGTCTGTATCTGTGTCTGTGTCTGTGTCTGTGTCTGTGTCTGTGTCTGTGTCTGTGTCTGTGTCTGTGTCTGTGTCTGTGTCTGTGTGTGTGCGATCCGAGCGCTCTTCCTCGATTTCGGCCTCTGGGGCCGCTTCTGATCCTGGGCCCTGGGGACCATTCAGAGCGACCCCGCGGCGAGAAACGGGCCCCTGGGAGGGGGATCGGGGCATCTGGGGACGTGCGTCGTACCATGGTGCTGTCAGGTACTTTGGCTTGGCGTGTCGCTGCGGTGGTTCTGGGTTCTGGCCCACCACGCTTCGGCGCGGCACGCTGATCCATGTCTCGGCGCCCGAGCTTCAACGTCCCGAGCCTTTCCGAGTCTCCCGCCCCGCGGAGTGGCGCGACACGCTATCCGCTCGCAAGGCACAGCGTGTCGCCGGGGCCGCCGCCGCGACACGCTAAGCAAAAGTTCCCGGCCCTATCGTCGGACGTTGGTGCTTGGTCCCCCCGTGTGGTTCCTCGCCAAGCTGTGATTGCGTAATTTTTCCGCCTGGCTCTAGGACATGTCTTGCGACTTCCAGATGCGAGCCTCGGCGGCTACGGTTCGCAACACATTCACGCAATGATGCAGTCATGCATACTTGCACATCTGCAGCAGCTCATACAAATCATGTGCAGTCGCGAGCTGCAGTGGCAACGATGCTTGGTGACGGATGGGCGGCTGCGGCCGCAGGGCTTCAGAGGCGCCTTTTGGCAGAGGGTGCTGGGCCGCCCCGGGTGCCAGTTACCCAGGGCCAAGAATGGGGCTGACCTATTGGTCGTTGAAAGCATGTGTTTTTGGAATCCCAGGTTCCAATCTACTTTAAGCGCCTTCCTACTTCAATGATCGAGTGGCGTCCCTTCTTCCCTCCTCTTCAGGGGGCGGGCGGATACTCAATCTACTTCCAACGCCTTCCTACTTCATGTTTCTACCTAGTTCTTCCGGCCGGTGAGTACTTTTAGGTGATGTTCACAGAACAGCCCCTGTCAGAAAAGACAAACGGACGTGGAGAGCGGAGCCGATTCGAAAACGGCGCGGTCGAGAATCCCGAAACGAGGGGGGGGGACGGACACCAACACTGAGAAAACCTTCGATTCTGAAATAGGGAAAGAACAACGCCCCCAGAAGTTTTAACATCATGTACAGGCGCTGGGTCAGCATCCCTGCGCCTCAGACCCTTTATTCGAGTGAGGCAGAACCACCCCGGTCCCCATAAGTGGCGTTCACTGAGCCGCCCTGTTCCATGTTTGTGGCCCTCTCTTGGGTGCATGTTCTAAACGGGTTCGCTTGTCGGGGTGCTCATTCTGAGGGTGGAGTTTCTGCTCTCTGCTCCTGGGGCCTGTTCTGCTTTCTGCGGGCGGGGCTCAACCGGGGGGGGGGGGGCTCGTAATGCCACGATTCGCGACGTCGCCGTCTTGGGACCCCTAATTAGCCATTCGCCGACGGCCCCGTCGGGAATCCCGAGGCTCCTCCGTGTGGGGTGGTGCGTCCCTGGTAACGGACGTCATCGCGAGTTTGTCCCAACGCATTCCAGAGTCGGTGGGATTGGGGTGGGAGAGGGATCGGCGTTCGAGGATCGACTATCCATGCAGTTTTTCGCCTTTTCCGCGTCCCTGGGTCCTTCCAGCCGGGAATGGGGATGGACGGGGTTCGTGGATCGAGCTACTTTTTGTCTTTTCCGTGGGTCTGGAAGGCTGCAGGACTTTCGGAGGCTCCACGGGCACATCGAGGCCTTCATCAGAGCCTCCTCGCTCCTGGTCACAGTCGCCCACCACCACCACCACCACAGCGCCGCCAAAGAGCATCACGGCACAAGCACCTGTAGTGACCTGCTGGCCTTGGACTTCCCCTTGGCGGGCACGCTGGCGGTCGATCAGCTCACAGCTCACCGCCTCAGCCGACCTGTCCGCGCTAGACGTGCATCAGTGCGCCGTGTGCGCACTCTCTCTCAAGATCTAGCGGGCTCTGAAGTCGGGTTCCTTTCCGCCTCGCCGACCCCGACCAAGGCCCTATACATAGTCAGCGGGCAGACCAGCAGCGGGCGCGAGCTGCACGAACCACCCCACGGGTGCCCTTCCAGGCTTCCAGGGGTTACGCTCGTCCCCGCGCTTCCTCACCCTAGAGACACCAGGCTTCAGCCGGCTATCCAGCCTCCTCAGATATGGTGCGACGACTGCTCGCGGGGCCCTTACGGCCATGGCCCCGAGGGCGTCGCGTGTGTCGACCCAGAGATCCGCAAGAGCCTAGCAGCCAGCCGCAGCAGCGCCTACAAGCAGGGGATCAGCTGTCGATGGATCTGCACCCCGTGCTGGAGAGCCGCCCAAGAGGCCAAATGACAACCAATCCCGCCGGGCGCGAAGCTGGCTAATTTTTTGCGCGACCTAGACTAGCAGCCTTTCCCAGCTCCCCAGTACTGAAACCATTGCCAGCGGCAGCGCAGGTCGCTCTCCCCGACGCCAACGCACCCCTCTGGCAGCTCCTGCTGCCCCAGGGCGGACTCCACGACCCAGGCACAGTCTCTGCCACCATGCCGGCCCAGCGCACACACGATGACAGGTTCGGTCAGAAGGGCAAGACGGAGGGGTGGAAGAGCAGATGCGACCGCTGCCCCGAATCCGCCCCGCTACACGAGTGGAAGTGCGGACCCCATCTTCCCATGGGCATGTCCATCTTCCGCCCCGACGCGCCCAACCCGACCCCACCCGCGCAGGGCCTGACACCGTGCGGCGAGTGGGTCAATTCCTTCCTGGCCATGCAGTGGAATGCCACCTGATTATGCGAGCGCTGCCTGGTTGACCTCTGGAACGCGCGGCCGACGGACGTGGTGCAGATTCTAAGCAGGGCCGGCGCCGAGGTGCACCCTGACCCCCCGCCCAAGAGACAACGGAGCCCGTCCCCGCCAGCCCCCGCGGGGAGCCCGTTGCCGGGGAAGCCCCCCAACGTCCGCGCGAGGAATCATCCAGCTCGCCGCTGCCAAGGGCCAGGAACGGATGGGCGAGGCGCCTGCAGACCCCCCGCGGAGCTTGCAAGGAAGCCCGGGCCAGAGGCCCAGACCAGGCCAGCATCGGCCAGCCGCTCGGGAAGCCGAAGGAGCGCACGTCGCCCTGCAGTCGGCGTGGCGAGGACAAGGCCGCGCCAATCTCCCTGACCGCGACCGCTCCGCCAGCTCCGGAGGGGCCCGCCCCCGCGTGCGCAGCCATCCCCCCCGTGCGAGGGCAAGGTCCCGTGAAGGCCGAGAGGGCGCGCCTCAGGGCCACGACCGGACGTCCTCGCGGGGGCCCGACCGCAGGAGCCAGCCAGCACGCTCCCAGGGAGAACGGAGACGATGGTTTGGAGAGGATCGCCGCGACTCGTAAAATGGCCAGGCAAGGACGCAGGCGACACCATGTTGACACTGGCGTCGAGGGGCCGAGTGGGCCGCTGATCAGGGAAACTTACGAGGCTGGCATCAGCCACGGATCCCTCCTTTCCTGTCCTCTTCTCCCGGCCCCACAGATGGCCGAACAGGGGCCCGTGCAACTCGTGAGTCTAAGCGAGCAGGCGCCTCTGTGACAGGTCATGCCGAGCCGTCGTGGCTACAGGTGGCACCTTTTCACACGCATGTGTCGCCCAATCGTACTGGCTGAGACTTTTCCTTGGTGCATCTCTGGCTCCACACGCTCCCCTGAAGCAGTGCAAACGAGAAGAACGAACAGGGCAACCGCCGATCAGAGGACGCCGACCTCACCCCGCCGCCAGACCGAGGGTGGCGACGCAGCCAGACTACAGGACCCAGACAACAGACGCCAGACCGCACCAAGCCCGGCGCCCCCGGAGACAGGAGTCCCCGATCAAGGTGGATCGACCGCGACCCAGCGCCTGCCGACAAAGCCGGCGCCTCCCCGACTGACAATACTGACGCCGAAAAGATCCTCGTCGACCTCCCCGACATGCCGCCCCCGCCCTGACCCAGCCTTGTCGACCGGGAAGTGGCCACCTTGCGCCCCAGTTTGCTGGTCGACCCAAACTCGAAGGAGAAGAAGGAAGACTGCGCAATTCCCCACACCATGGCACAACACGCCTGGGTGCTACACGACGATGTTGAGAAGACCTGGCGGCAGTGGACGGATGGGCTGCAGCAACAGCGACAGAACCCTGTCGGACCCCGCGACGCCCCACTGGACCCACGCGCGTGGACATAGCAGGACCGCCAGGGCTTCCTACGCAGCATCTACGGCCAAAAGGTCCCAGATAACTGGATTCCACCAGGATGCCCCTGGGACGGAAAGAGGGCCGCCCTGTTGCACCTGGTAGCCTCTCTCACCAGGCAGAAAGGCCGCACTCCTGAGAGGAAGGATTACCTGGTCGAACAATATACCTCCTACCTGCAGACCAACCATCCCCAGCTAGACCTGGACTTGGGCGAGGGCCCGAACAGGTACAGTCAGCAGCACCTCGCGAGGTTCCTTGCCTCGCATGGGATACAGAGTCTGACGGCGCCCGTGCTGGAATACGACACGCCTGGCGTCGACCCAAGTGCCAGTGCGAAGTCGGTCTACAACAAGATGAGGGCACCAGGCCCTCGCGCCGAGCGCCCAAATCCGGCCCGAGCACCGCGTGACATTGCAGGGCACCGCCAAGGCAGAAAGCCTCGGGCAGCGGGTCCTTGATTTGATAGGAGGAAGAGCGAGGCGAGTGCCCCTGAACTTGGAGGGTTCGGCGAGGTTTAACTCGTCTGTCTGTTTTTGCATGCCGAATTGGATGGCCTCCTGAGCTGGCTATGGTCCTCCTCCTCCTCCTCCTCCTCCTCCTCCTCCTCCTCCCCCTTCTCGGTGCGGTAACTTTCGGCCGAGCGGGAGCCTCACCAAAAGTCGCAGCAACGTGCGCCCCCGCCAGTGCAGTCTGCTTCCGCTGCGCGTGACTTGTCGTATCGCCAGGCGTGCGCTCCAGCCTGCATTGCCGAAGGATGGGCAGGATTTGCCGATACTGCGACGGGTTGACACATATACGTGTTCACCACTTCGTATGGCACACGGCCCCCTTCGTCGATTAGAAGTCAGCTCTGCATACTTCCCTACACCTACACCTCCTCCTCCTCCTCCTCCTCGTCCCAGTCCTCCTCCTCCGCGTGCTTAGCGCGAAGAGGGCTTGACCGGCAGCGCTTTCCTCTGCAGGTGGGCCCGCCCGCGGACGAGATCAGCCGCATCTGCCCCTCGGGCGGCAGGATGCTGGCGGCCGGTGGTGTTCTGCGACTGGGAGGCGCGCGTGAGGGGATCAGGAATTCTCCGCCTCCTCCTCCTCCTCCTCGCCTCCCTCCTCCCTCTCCTCCTCCCTCTCCTCCTCCTCCTCGCCTCCTCCTCCGCCTCCTCCTCCTCATCCTCCTCATCAGCATCATCATCATCATCATCATCATCAGCATCATCATCATCATCAGCATCCGCATCAGCATCAGCATCAGCATCAGCATCAGCATCATATCATCATCATCATCATCATCATCATCATCATCATCATCATCATCATCATCATCATCATCATCATCATCATCATCATCATCATCAGCATCATCATCATCATCACCGTCATCATCAACATCATCATCATCATCATCATCGTCATCATCATCAGCATCAGCATCATCAGCATCATCATCATCTCCCCCTCATCGTCCTCCTCTCCTCCCCATCCTGGTGCTTCTCCTCGCCTCCATCCTCGCCCTGTGACCTTGTAAATGTTGATGGCAGTTCTACGAGACCCCCCTCGGGATGCAGGTACATGTGGCGGGGGAAATTGCTCATTTGACCCATCGTGTAAGGTTCCATCCTGGGCTGAAGTTGTGTGGTTCCGTTCTCACTGCGGGGGAGGAGCTACAGAGTTGCTCGGTAAACTAGCCGAGAGATGTGAAAACCCCACCCCCACAGGGAGAGAACATGTAAGAATAATCGAAGCCAGGCTTTGGCCCAAAATTCTTAGCAAAGCTGAGAGAGCCAGGAGACAAGGCGACCGATCCTAGGTTGCGGCGGATGTGGTTTCATATCGCCACGCGATCAGGCAGAGTCTCCAGAGTCTCCTCCTTCACGGCCTAACTCCTGATTCCTGATGGCCTGAAGGTGTTCCGAACGTGGCCCTCCCCCTCCCAGGGCCAGTCGGCCCTGGGGCTGTAGGAGATTCTCACAGAATGGGAAGCACGGCAGAAGGGAAAGAGGGAGAAGGGAAGATATCATGATTTCGAGGGAAGGAGACAGGAGAGAGGTGGCTGTGTGTGTGGGCAGTCCATGGCCTCGCCTTCCTCCTCCTTCCCCTTCCTCCTCTGGGGCCGGACTTCTCGGGTGCCCCGAGGGGGAGGCCAGGCCCCTTCAGGGGCAACGTTCGGGGGGGGAATAGGCCTAGGGAGAATGGGCTTTTTGGGGTTCAAGGTTTCGGCCACGCGCAGAGGGTGTAAGGGGAGGGAGGGAGGCTTCTTGGAAGGAGGCTGCTCCTTAGAAGGAGGCCTCTTCACCCAAAAGCTTGCGAGCATTTTTGTCGGTTTCGGCGGTTTCCTCGCCTCGGGATGTTCTTCAGCAGCTGCGCCTCGCCAGGAGCGTTCTGGGGTTGCCCGGCTCGTCCCGAACGACCGCCAGAGAGCCGAGGAGCCGATTTGTGACCCGAAAACCAAGGGGCAACGTGAGGGCGGGATGCTCAGGCGGGGGCGCAGCAACCCCCTAGAGGGGGCGGGCGGCCCGATGATCCATCCAGCCCGGGAGCGTGCGGATTCGATATCTGCTGCCTACCGCCGACCCCTCAGCGCAGCCGTGCAGTGCAGGCTGTAGACGGACCTTCGGACGAGGATGGAGTACGGAGGCCTCCGCGAGCTGTTCGCCGGTGCTATTCGGGCCACTGGAGGCCCCATGCACCGAGGTTCCGATGGCCCTGGGCCCCCGTTGGGTCTTCGGGAGGCGTCGGCTCCTGGAGGCCGCGGGCATCGAGGCTTCTTGCAGGTCTCGGGAGGCTTCTGGGGCTCGCCCGCAGATCATGTAGGCCCAGGGCATCCTGTCCACAGTCTGGGCTTGCTCGCGCCATCTTGCGCCATTCGTTTTCGTGTTTGCAGGCCGCACTGTTGCGCGATCGCCAGCACATTCATGATAGATTCGGTTCGACCGCTTGGCGATTGAACAAGAAAAGGGAGCCTCCTGGAGACCTCTGGGGATTCGGATTTCTTGGGGAGGACAGGTGCGGTACGGTCGGACCGAGGTCTAAGATCGAGGTCGGCTCGGGGAGGGTACCCCATTGTCCTTCGTGTGTATTGTGTGTGTGTGGGTGTGTATGTGTGTGTTCTTGTGCATCCTGGAGGAGGGCACCCTCGGATGTTCTCTGTATGCTTTGGCCAGCGCAGGGTCTCATGCTCTTGCAGGGCATTCTTCTGTCCTTGGGCCGGCTGTAGGTTCGTGTCTCTGCGGTGCGGCGCCGACCCGGGCGCGGGCGTTCGAGGTTGAGAAAGAGAGCTCCCTGTCGTCGCTGACAAGGCCCCCACCGGGTTCGGAACCGGGGGGAGGGACGACGACGGCGTCGTGCTCGGCGTCGTCGTCGTCGTTGTCGTCGTCGCCGGCGTCGGCGTCGGCGTCGAGCCTGGCGTCGTTGCTGGCGTCGGCATCGTCGTCGCCGGTGGCGTCGGTGTCGTCGTCGGCGTCGGCGTCGGCGTCGGCGTCGTGCCCGGCGTCGTGCCCGGCGTCGCGCTCGGTGTCGTGCTCTTCGTCGGCGTCATCGTCATCGTCGTCGGCGTCGGTGCCAGCGTCGGCATTGTTGTCGGCGTCGTGCTCGGCGTCGTGTTCGGTGTCGTGCTCGGCGATGTCGGTGTCAGCGTGGGCGCCGTTGTAGGCGTGGGCGTCGTGCTCGGCGTCGTGCTAGGCGTCGTCGTCGGCGTCATCGTCGTCGTTGGCGTCGGCGTCGGCGTCGGCGTCAGCGTCGGCGTCGGCGGCGACGGCGTCGGCGCCGGCGTCATCGTCGTCGGCGTCGGCGTCGGCGTCGGCGTCGTTGTCGGCGTCGTGCTCGGCGTCGTGTTCGGCGTCGTGCTCGGCGTGATCGGTGTCGGCGTTGTAGGCGTGGGCGTCGTGCTCGGTGTCGTGCTTGGCGTCGTCGTCGTCGTCGTCGTCGTTGGCGTCGGCGTCGGCGTCGGCGTCGGCGTCGGCGTCGTCGGCGTCGGCGTCGTCGGCGTCGGCGTCGGCGTCGGCGTCGTCGTCGTGCTTGGCATCGGCGTCGCCGCTGGCGTCGGCGTCGTTGTCGGCGTCGGCGTCATCTTCGGCGTCGTCGTCGTCGGCGTCGGCGTCGTCGGCGTCGGCGTCGACGTCGTGCTCGGCGTCGGCGCTGGCGTCGGCGTCGTTGTCGGCGTCGTCGTCGTCGTCGGCGGCGTGCCCGGCGTCGTCGACGTCAACCTCGGCGTCGGCGTCGTGCTCTTCGTCGGCGCCAGCGCCGGCGTCGTTGTCGGCGTCGGCGTCGTCGGTGTCGTGCTCGGCGTCGTGCTCGGCGTCGTTTCGTGCTCGGCGTCGTGCTCGGCGTCGTCGTCGTCGCCAGCGTCGGCGATGGCGCTGGCGTCGTGCTCGGTTTCTTTGTCAGCGTCGGAGTCGTCGTCGCCAGCGTCGGCGTCGGCGTCGTGCTCGGTATCCTGCTCGGCGTCGTGCTCTTCGTCGGCGTCGGCGGCGTCGTCGTCGTCGTCGGCGTCGGCATCGGCGTCGGCGTCGGCGCCGGCGTCAGCGTCGTTGTCGACGTCGTGCTCGGCATCGTGCTCGGTGTCGTGCTCGGCGTCATCGTCGTCGTCGTTCCTCGTCGTCGTCGTCGTCGGTGCCGTGCTCGGCGTCGGCGGCGTCGTCGGCATCGTGCTCGGCATCATGCTGGGCGTCGTCGTCGTCGGCGTCGGTATCGTGGTCGTCGTCGTCCGTGCGTCCTCGTCGTCTTTGTTGTCTTCGCTGTCGCGCCGCCGCTGTCGTGTCGTCGTCGTCATCGTCGTCGTCGTCGTCATCGCTGCCTTCCCCCCGCCCCTGGGGTTCGAACCTGGGTGGGGGTGGGAGTTTACCTCCCCTGGGTTTCCGGAGGGGTGGGTGGGCTTTTTTCCTAAGCACGCGCCCGCGAAACGCGCTCTCTCAAGGTTGAACGCCGCCTGTGACCAGGTATCGGCCACCACCGATCGACCGGGGCTGCGGGAGAGCCCCTATCGTGCGCTGCCGCGCGATTCCGCCATCGCGCTCGGGCGGACACGGGGAGTGGGAGGGCCTCGGGGGCTTGAATTCAAGGGAGGCAAAACCACCTGGACAATTGGCGTTTACTAAACAGCCCTGCCCTGATCGATTCCTTCTTTGGGCGCGTTTGCTAAAGGCCTCGCGTGTCGGGGTGATTCTTATCGGGGTGGATTTGCTGCCTTCTATGAATGGGGGGAGTTGCCACAGATCCCCCTTTCCCCAGCCTCCAGATTTGGGACGAGTTTCTGCCCGGAGGGCCCAAAGCGCAGGGCTTTGGCCACAACGCTAGACGCCCATTGGGCTCGGTGCGTCGGGGGGCCTTCTTGCTTCGCAAAAGTCAGGAGGGGAAAAAACACACACAGACACAATGAATCGTCGATTCCCCAGAAGATATGGGAAACTATGGGAATTGAGGGGAAGGCAAAAACCCAGAAAATATGGGAACATGTGAGGAATTATGTTATTTGTGTCTATCAATCTGTGTGTCCCAAGGCCTCTTCAAAGGCGACAGGGCCCGACGCACACCAACCTCTGCAAGCGCGGTGGCGGCTTATTCTTTGCGGGTGCCGCCGGCTTTCGCCACAGTCGGCGGCTTCTTCAGGCCTTTTGGCATCGCTCGGGCGCGTGCCTTCTTTCTCTTTCTCGGCCAGGGGCATCTTGGATCATCTTGGGGAACAAAGCGCTCACAAAATCGAAACATGCACGTGGAATGGACGTCCGAGCGATGGCAAGGCTGTGCAACCTGCCCGCAGGGGCGCAGGGCCGATCCATCACTCTACTCTGGACACGTACGTTTCGATGTTTGTTTTACATTGCCTGCTGCGATGCTCAGCCGCGCGCAAGCGGGGGTGGGGGGAGGGGGAAGGCTTCTTAGAAACACCCCTGCTTCTTTGAAGGCGCGGGCCTTATCTATAGATGCAGGGCCGGCGCCTTCTAAGAAGCAGCCTCCTCAGAAGCCTTCCCTCCTTCCCCTACCCCGTTGTGCGCGCCGCCAAGATGCTCCCCATCCCATGACGCCGCAGCCGTTCGGTCGGAGGGGCTGCTTTATTCAGCCGTTCGACTGGCAGGCGTATGTGCTACAACACGCTGCCTCCCCGCGAGTGAGGAAAACATCCATCACGTCAGCAGAAGTCAAGTTTGAACATTTCCCTCGTATGGGGTTTCCCCCACCCGTTGCGCCGATACGATGTCTGGGAGTATTCGTATTGATGCGTCCCTCCTCGCTCTTGACCCGTTGCTGACTTTACGCACGATTTGGGCGATAGTTGGGTGTTCGGTTCGTTGTGTTTCCCTGTGTTTTTCCGTGTTCGTACAGCGCCAGCGACAAAAACCATGTTCATCGTAGGTCGGCCTTTCTTCCTGCAGGGGGTGGATTGACGAAAACTCGTGCAGGCAGCTGGTGCTCAGCACGTGATGCTTCTAAACATGGTCTCGCTTGGTGCCTCGACGCGCCTAGGGGGGCCCTTTGCCAACTCCGCCATTCGTTCCCCCCCCCCCGTGGTAGTCGCCCTCGCCGCGATGCATAGTAGGTCAGAAGAGAAACAGGTACCCATAATGCTACCCTTCCGTCGTTTTCCCCCGTTTCGGGCCTCCTGCGGGGCCCTCGTCGCCACCGCTGGATTCGCTTCCAAATCCTGGGGACAGGGATTCAATCGAAGCATGGACCATTTGATCTGGAGACCGCTGGAAGGGGCTGCCCGCCACTCTGCGGCGGCACGCTGGTCCAAGGGCCATGTTAAGCAGAGGATGTGGACATCTCGGCTTCTACTGGTGTTCGTCGTCCTCCTCGTGTCCTCTCCTTCCTATCTCTCCGCGTCCTCCGAAAAGGAAGCGGAAGAGGAGGAGGAGGAGGAGGACGACGAAGGCGAGCAACAGGGTGGTGGTGGTAATGATGTTGATGATGATGATGCTGCTGATGCTGATGATGATGATGATGGTGGTGGTGGTGAAGGTGGTGATAAGGATTGCGATGGTGATGGTGATCTGATGATGGTGGTGATGATGACGATGATGACGATGTTGATGTTGATGATGATGATGATGATGATGATGATGATGATGATGATGATGATGATGATGATCATGGTAATGTCGCTGACGACGACGATTCTGATGATGGTGGTGATGATGATGCTGGCGACGTCGACGATGCTGCTGATGATGATGATGACGATGTCATCATGAGAATAATGCTGAGCAGGATGGTGATGATGATAATGATGGTGATGGTGATGGTGATGGTGTTGGTGATGATGATGGTGATGATGGTGATGTTGATGGTGATGATGATGGTTGTTGTTGTTGATGATAACGATGATGATATTAACGATGATGGTGATGGTGTTGATGCTCATGACGATGATGAGGTTGAGGAAGAGAAATTGGAGGAGGCAACCCGCAGTGTGCGCGGGTCTGGATGCCGCGTTGCAAACAGCGGGTCCTCGCAGAGAGCCCGCCGTCCGTCGACAGGTGTGCTGCTGGGCGGCTACGGCGAGACCGACATCGGGCACCTTGGGGCCAACAAATAGATGGGCGTGAGCTCTTGGTCAGCGTGTCACTCCGCCGGTTCGTGGCCGCTACGCTTCGGCGCGACACGCGAACCGCGTCCCTGCTCCCGAGCGTTAACGTCCCGAGCTGTTCTCGGCCGCCCGCCCCGCGGCGGGGAGCGACCCGCTAAGCACAAGTTCCAGACCGTACAGAGTACATTGGAGACCCATGCCAAGAAACACCCTGCTTGCCTTCAGGGTGCCCTGGGTTTCTTGGGTTTCGATGTTTTTTGCGTTGGCAAGCGTGACGTTCCCAACCAAACATCGATGGACGTCCTGGGGTCTCAGGGTTGGGTTTCTTGCGGAAGGTTTCTTATGGATTGGCCTCCACTGTATACACCATTGGTGCCTCCCCTTTTCCCCTGCCTGCAGGTGCCCTTCGGAAGTGTCTTGTCCCCCGATGGCCCTGGGGGGCCGCAGAAGCTCTGGGGCACCTTTCTCAGGACCCTCGAGGATCGACGAAGAGCATGCCCCAAGGCTTCCTTGTATAGCAAGACTTCGTGTAGTACTTGCCTACTGTGTGCATCACCAGTGCCTTCCCCTCTCCGGGCGGGGCAAGCATCGGGATAGCCGTTGCAGAGCGTTCTTGAACGCTTTCAGGGTTTTACGGGGCGTTCTGGATCGGCCGCGGCGCCCGACCCATCTTCCAGAACCGCTGGATCCAAGAGATTTATCCTGGTCCGATGCTGTCCCTGTCTTGGCTTCGTCTTACTTCTTCACCTCCCAAGAGACTTGGACCGTATTCTGGCCTGCTCCCAGCAGCGCGCAGGGTCAACGCGGGCCGCGCGTGGGCCCTCGCTGGAAGATGCCAGCCGCCTCTTCGCATCGCTGTCTGCCACGACGTCAAGGTGGTTGCTGAGAGGTACAGACAGGAGGCCCGTGGCAGGAGGATGAGCGGACGGAAAACGGATCTGAACTTCTAAAGCGGCCCTCGGGCGTGTGGTGTAAGTTGCGCGGGCGTAAACTTAGTGTCTGAAGGTGGCCTTTTACGTTTGGCAAGCAGCAAGGTGGGTCCACGTTTAGCAGCGTGCTGCAGAGACTTGTCCAACATTGGGGGCTCGTTGTAAGTGTTTCAACGTTTGGCTGGGAACGCATCTGGTTGACGTGACCATTTGTCGCATCGCAAAGCGCTGCTGTGATTCCAGGATGGCTTGCCCCTGGTCAGGCCATGGCTATGCTACCCTTGGGCTTAATGTACCCGCATCTTGTACGTATTTGGCAAGGTTTTCATCCAGTGGTTGAGATTAGCCGCATCGAAATGTATTATCTCGGCGGCAAGCGAGGGGGACAAGTGGAAGGGGGCGGGCCTTCTCAGAAGTCTTGGAAATCCCTGGGCCTTCTGAGAAGTTTTCGCATCTTTCCCCGGAGACAATCTTCTCAGAAGGCGCGAGGGCTTCTGAGAAGTTCCGCCGCCTTCTGATAAGGCCTTCTCTTTCTCATTTCCCCCCTCGCTCGCCGCCGAGTATCAGAGCTTCATCACGTGTTCCACTTCTCAAGACTTTACCGACATCCGTTGACCATTTCACACAATACAGTCTCATTCCCTTTTGTGTGGTCGGCGTTTGCACTCATCCACCACATTGTTTATGTGCCCTTGTCCACATTGTCATTCTTACCCTCTCTGGCTTCTGTGCCATGTGTCATTCCAGAACTTCGCATGTAAGTCCCAAGTGGTTGCTAGCTCATTTTGAAAGCGGCCTGGCAGCTGTGGGTGGGTGGTGATGGTGCGTGCAGCGGGGTGAGTCCTGCTTGAGGTCATCTGCGCTCCTCAGGTGTACTTCTGACGTCAGCTTCTGTGGCGGGGCGTCGTTGAAGCGAATGGCGGCTGCTGCACGGGATCCACCACGCCAGGGCCCAGTACGACCTTGAAAGATTACCAGTTTCTCTCGCTCCCGCCTCTCCACTCGTCCCCCCTTGAGAGCTTGCTTCCATGGCCCAGACTTGCCTCCGGCTTGCAGCCCGCCCTGGGTCTCGGTGGCGGCTCCTGTGCTGCTTGTTCGTGGCGCCAGCCGAGCCCCTTGCGGTGTGGGCGGAGGTCGGGCTCGCCACATCTCCAGCAGCACCCCCCCTGCTCAGCTTCCACCTCTCTGCCTATGGCGGCGTGCATGGCATGGGGTCTCGCGTTCCAACCTGGCCCAGTGAGGCGCTCTCAGAGGCCTTGGCGCCTCTGGTCGCCCGTACGGTGCAGTGGCCCAAACGATACCCGCAAACTGTGGCCCAACACCCCAGCAACTCTGTGGGTAGGCAGAGAGAAAAACAAGTCGGCAGCAAATCATGAGAGCCTTGTATACCCTCGTATTTCTGTCGTTCGAGTGCACTAGCGTCGACTAGCGCCTGGTAATCGACGAGATGGCGCCGGTTTAGCGTCGATTAGTCTCGATTAGCGTCGATTAGCGCCAATTGGCGCCGATTCGCAAGAGCCAACAAGAGAGTATGGGAGGCTTCCATGAGCTGCCACAGAAACAACAAGGGTGGACGGGGAGATCGGGACGGGATATACTGACGGCGCACGCACGCTGCTTCCGCAGGTACGCCTACAGACACTTGTCCAGGGCCCTCCACCCAGACAAGAACCGCAGCATTCCAGAGGCGGCGGACGCGTTCAAGCGGCTACAGGAGCTCCCTTCCACACAGTTGCGTGGGCAAGATGGGTAACCATACCCATTGCATCTCGGAGTTGCGGGCTCCTTTTCCCAGACTCCCGAGGCGCAATGGATTTCGATAATTCTGTCCCCTAAAGGCTACATTTTCACATAGATTCACTGCGCCTCCGCCTTTTGGCGCCCCTTTCCAGAATGTCCACGGTGCAGTGGATATGGGTACAACTCTTGCCAGCAGCAGCCTCCAGGGTCTCGCGGCTGCGAGGACCCCACCAGACCAAGCAGGTGTGGCATGAGGCCTCTGTTTCGCGCAGGAACACTCAGGAGAAGCCTGATGACGATGATGATGATGATGATGATGATGATGATGATGATGATGATGATGATGATGATGATGATGATGATGATGATGCTGATGCTGATGCTGATGCTGATGCTGCTGCTGCTGCTGCTGATGCTGATGCTGATACTGATGCTGATGATGATGCTGCTGATGATGATGGTGGTTGTGGTGGAGGTTTTGGTGGTGATGATGATGATGATGCTGCTGATGCTGATGCTGATGATGATGATGATGATGATGATGATGATGATGATGATGGTGATGATGATGATGATGATGATGATGATGATGCTGATGATGCTGATGATGCTGATGCTGATGCTGATGCTGATGCTGATGCTGCTGATGCTGATGCTGATGCTGATGCTGATGATGATGAGGAGGAGGAGGAGGAGGCGAAGGATACCGAGGAGGATAATTTGGAGGAAGAGAACGATGTGGAGGATGACGAGGAAGAGGAGGATGAAGGTCGCCCCTCTGGGGGTGTCCTCGAGGGTCTTCGGTCGATCCTATACGGCAGGCCTTTAGCGGTGTGTTCGCAAAGCGCCCTCGTTGGTCCGTCTTGCGGCCGCCTTGGAGGCCTCCCGTGCCTCTCTCGGGGGCCTCTGGGTCCGTACAGTCAAGACGTTGAAACAAAAACATTCTAGGTTCAGGATGGTTCCAGCTTTCGGGCCGTGCCCGAAGGCTACGTGAGCCGTGCGACCCATTCGTTGCCGAGGCTACCCGTGGCTAGGAAAAAGTCGCTTCAATTCTGATTCAGCGTTTCTTTTGGTAGCACGGTGGCTATGGTGCGTGCGGCCTTGGGGGCTTCTTTGTCCCCTGTTGGAGGCCCAGCCGAGTCAGATGCAAAAGCGGCACCCTGGCGGCAGACCGCCCTGAACAGGTTTACGGTGGCCACGGATGGAAGCCACGAGGGGGGGCAACGATGAGCCACCGATCTCGCGGGCCCCGCGCCCCTCTGCGGGCATGAGGAGCATACAGTCGGCCCAGATTAGTAGGTCGACCCTGCCAAATCACGGGTACCCTTGTGTCCTGTGTCTCGCGACCCGTGCGTCCTGCATTCCTATGGCAATGTGGCCCCCGGAAGGGTCTTGTGTCCTCTCGCGTGTCCTCTCCAACCAAGTCCGACTGTAGCCACACCGGATGTATTCGGGGGCATTCCAGGCCGAAAGGGCTTTTGGCCACCTTGGTTTACATGGGCCAGCTCGAGGGCCTCCGAGGCAGGCCACCACAGCCCCACGCGGGCTTCCAGGGCGTGCCCCGCGGCGGGCCACGGGAAGGCATGAAGGAAGGGCGCTCCCCAGTCCCCGGGGAGGGTCGCGCGGCGATCGCATAATCGTAGAGAGCGCGCGGGAGGCAGGCCATTTGAGGGTCTTGCCCCTGTGATTTGTGTGCTCTCCCTCTCTCTCTCTCTCTCCATGCTTGGCTCACCTCCCCGTCTCCCCATCCCTCCGTCTGTCCGCCTAGACTGTCTTTTCCTGTCTTCTTCCCTTCCTCTCCCCCTCTGTTTCTCGCTCCTCGGCTCCTCGCTCCCCTGCCCGTTCCTGTCTCTTCCTTGGCCCGCTTTTCTTGTCTGCCCGTCCCGTGGTCTGAATAAGAGCTGCGGTGGCCCGCACTGCCACGCTGGCGAATAGCCGGGCGTGGGACGAGGACTTGACAGGCCTGTGCTGATCATTCTCAGTTGGCTGGAATGCGTCGCCAGCGCTAGCTGCTCTTACGCACGAAAATGCTACTTTTGGCCTGCCCCCCAGGAGAGTGGTTTGTCCTGTTGTCGGGGCGCGCCCCAGAACATGAGACAGTTTCTGGGGGTTTGTCGTCGTCGTTGGCGGCTTCGTCGTCATGTTGGGACTGGACTCCGACGAGGGAAATGCCTCACCAGACGATGCTCGCCCAGCGGTCATCTTCAGGATGATCATCTCGATCTATTTCTATCGCGCCGTGATATTCGTGCTGGACGCCCTGTCCGAGCGTCGAAGAGAGGTGGGCTATTTCGCCTTTGCTCACAGATGCCTGCTAGCGGCACGGAAGAGGATGTTGCTAGAAGTGCCTCTGCCCCAAGTTGCCCCCAGGATTGCCAAGGAGGCCCCCACAACCTCCAGAGCACCCCTCACGGTGCCCAGACGGCCCAAAGCTGGGGGCACCTTGGGCCAGGGACACCTCCAGCAACCCCAGCGTAGACGTGTTTGGAGGGTGAGCCTCGCCTCAGGCGGCTGCTGAGGCGCGTGGTAGATGTCCTGCAGGAATGTTGGCCGGCCCGGGTGTGGAGGGGACGTACTGGGAGGAGCAGACCGATGGGGTCGGAAAAGGGCGAGGAGTCGGGCGGCGCGTGGTTCGTGCGGAGCAGCATAAGAGACCGGGGGTTGCACGATGCGCCAAGGGCCGCGCAGGATGTTTCAAGCAGTGGCGAAACGTCCCGGCTCGCCTATAGCCCTAGCAAACAATGTTCTAAGAACCTCTCGCGGTTTCCACTAAATTGTCTTAGAACATTTCTGGCGGAGTCTGCTTGTTTTACCACATCGGGTTTATGTTATACGAAACTTGTTGTTGTTATTGGAACAACTTGGGGTTCTAAAACATTTCGTTGTAGGGCTATAGGAATGCTGGGACGTTCGGCCCCTGCACAAATCTTGATACAGATGAAGATGAGTGTGGCGGGGCGGGGCGAAGTGGGTGATGCTGGCGCCACTATATGGCGGACCGTGGCAGTCTCGAGCCAAGCGCTGCGCCAGAGGTAGGCAAGGGGGGGGCCGTCGCCCCCCCCCCCCCCCGCCTCCTGCAGTCAGGAACGCTGGCTTGGCGTGCCGCGCCGCCAGCCGCGCATCGGCGCGACACGCCATCCGCGTCCCAGTCCCCGAGCGTCACGGGCCTCTCCCGGCCTGCCGCCCCGCGGAGCGGAGCGGCACTCCAGCCGCTCGCAGTGCACAGCGGGCCTTCAAGACCCACCTTCAAGGAATTTTGCAAGCCTCCGCTTGCGATTTGATGCGAGTAAGTGCGGCTCCTGAGGACTCCCTTGGCCTTCTCACAGAGGGCTTCCGGGGGTGTCTGGCGGCTGCCTTGGAGACGTCTTTGGTCTTTGGCAGCTGCTGGGGCCGTTGGGAACGCTGGGAAGGCGCCAGGGCCATGCCGTGGACGCCGAGGGTCACAACGTCAAGGGGGGGGGGGGAAGCCTGGAGAACTGAAGAAACCCAACCAGACACGACTGGTTGATTACACCACTCCACGTGCCAGCGGGCACCTTGCCGGATGCAGCAGGGGAAGAGGGGAGCCTGATGCAGTTGGGGAGGGTCTGCTTATTCGGGGGGAAGGCTTCGTCTTCGGGTCACTGTTGCGTCTCCTCTTCTGGTCGAGGGCCTGCCTCCGAAGGAAGCCGCCGACGAGCTCCGTCAGACGCTGGAGCAGCAGAGAGCCATCATGAAGGCCTTCTCCGGCCGTCTGCTTGCGCGGGGGAAAGAGAGGACGGGATGGGGGAGAGTGATCATTATGTGGGGCGTTCTTGGAAGTTGCCGCGTCTTCGACTGATCGAAGAGGTGACGTCTCGCCCTCAGCGGAAGCTGGCGGGCTGCCCGAACGCAGCGACGGTCGAGTCGTCTTCGAGCGCACCAAGACCGTGCTCGTGGCAAGACCTTGGCCGCCAGAATTTCACCTCCCTCAGTTTCTGCGCACAGTACAGTCAAGCCACATAGTAAGGATGAGCGACTTTCCAAGGTTACCCTCGCATCCTCCCCCATTCGGCCCATCCTTGGCCGCGCTCGCTGGCCGCGCTCAGCTCGCACAGTGTCGACATGGCCTTCCAAGGCCCTTGCATCGTCATCGCGCGTCCTCGCTATAGCCGGCCCGGATTAGTAGGTCGACCCTGCCGAGTCAAGGGTACCTTTGTGTCCTGTGTCTCGCGACCCGTGCCTCATGCATTCCTGTGGCAATGTCGACCGCGGAAGGGTCTTGCGCCCTCTCGCGTGTCCTGCCCAACCCAATCGAGTCCGACTGTAGACGGGTTGACTGGCGTCTCTGGCAACAGCGTTGTCGCGTGGCGACGGGCGCTGACCGCCCACAGCCCTGGTGGTTGGGTGCTCGCTGTCCACCTGCTCGTACGGGCCCGGGCCGCTCGGCGGCTCGCCCCACGGCGGCAGGGACAGAGAGGGAGCTGGAGCAGCGGGAGGACCCCTGGCCCCTCGCAGAGCAGGGAGGAGGGCGAGGGGGACGGGGAGGAGGGGGGGGGAGGAGGAGGGGGAGGGGGAGGTAGGGGAGGGGAGGATGCGTTTAGGCAGGGAGAGCCTTCCGGCGCGCCTGTAGGCGGCGAGGGCGAGGGGGGCAGCGCCTGCAGGCGTTGCCCCTGGGGAGCGCGGATGCCTTCAGGCAAGGAGAGCCTTTAGGCGCGCTTGTAGGCGGCGAGGGCGAGGTAGGAGTGCCAGGCAGAGGGGGGTCGCCTCTGGGCGGGGAGGGCCTGTAGGCGTGCCTGTAGGCATGTGGGTCGGAGGGAGATGCATGTAGGCAAGGAGGGCCTGTAGGTGCGCCTGCAGGCAGGGAGCAGGGAAGGGGCCTGTAGGCGTGCCTGTAGGCACAAGAGGGGGGGGGGGGGGGGAGGAGTGCCTACACGGAGGGGGTGCCTGCAGGTGTGCTTGCAGGCGGAGGGGCGGAGGGGGGGGGGGAGGGAGGGGGGGGGAGGGGAGGGAGGGAGGGGGGGAGGGAGGGAGGGAGGGAGGCACGCGCGCGCGCGCGCCCGCCGCCCCCCTTTCTGGACGTGCGGCGCTATGCGCGCGCGAAGGTCGACGCAGCCACACCTACCAGCCGCGCATTGGCAGGTAGCTCGTCCACATCCGGCGTGCCCCGCAGCGCCCGCAGCAAGAGCTCGCCCCTCGGCGGGCCCCACGCGGCATGCAGCGCCTCGCGGTGAGCCTCTATGGCGTCACAGCGCTCAATCGGGTGCTGGAGGCAGCCCGCGCCGCCAGCACACAGCCGCCATGCCTCGGGCAGGCGCTCCGCCGGCAGGCCCCGCACCCCGACCGGGATCTGGTGCATCGCGCGCACAGCAACTACTGCAACCATTGGACCACCGGATGCCAAGGACCCAGCAGCAGTTTGACGCCTTACTAGAGCGCACGAGGGCCCATGCCCATATTGCCGAGCGAACGCCTGGCAACATCGGTGGTGTATTCAGCCGTGGCCACCGCTTCGATGTCTTTCATGGCGACGCGCGCGCAGGGCAACCGGCCAACAACGTCTGGAATGACGATCCAGAACCAAACGAGGCCACCACTATTAAGCCAACAAGGTGGCCAGCCCACGGGGTCGCAAGATTCCTGGGCTCGATATCAGGGACCGTCGATAACGGCGGCCCCCACCCAACCATTGCCCTAGTAGGCTCGGCGGGGCAACCCGCTTAGTCCGAATTTGATTCTGGCACCGACGCTGACACCTCATCACATGAGGGAATTGGTAACCTGGATTACTCCGACATGCCTCTGCATCTCACAACTGCAGAGCAGCAGGCGCAGTGGACATTCCTAGGATACCAGAAGCACAAGCGCCGACGGAGACGTTTTAGGAAGAAACCGATTCGAAAAGGTGCGACGTGTAGTCCGACGAGTGTTCAGGTCAAAGGGTAAGCGTAAAGGCATGGTGGGCAAACGGCTTAGATTACATGGCAGAGGTATGCTAACATTTGTGGCATCCCTTACGGGACCGCAGTATGAAGAGATCTTCCTGGGGAAGGGTAGAGGCCGTAGATGCACCTCAGGAAAAGGTAAGGGACGTCGGGGCAACCCGAAAGATGCCAACGGCAAAACCATGGCATGTGATATCTACCGTCGTACCCTGCATTTTCGTCGTAAATGCCCCCGAGGTGATGGGAGAGGCAGGGGTCCGTCGATACATTTGAACATTTGGCCCCAACTGATTCCGACATTCAGTATGTCGATTGGGAGACCCTTCTCGCCAAATCGGAAGACAACCCCGCAGCCGCTGTCCACATCGCGTCCGCGAGGTACCTGAGCGCCAGCTTATCCCTCGAGAGGTGCGACGACGAGCTCTTCGAGAATATTTACGTTGGCCACGATGGCTGATCTTGCAGACTGGCTGGACATTCCTACCGCGGGGCAACCTGCACATGGAGTTCATCAAGGATTATCACATGCCCGCCGACTCGGATCACGAGATGGCGGGGGCATCTGCAAACCCCGATGATAGTATCCTAGCTACGGAGGAGGAGCTCCAAGTTGCGCTCCGACCGCATGTGATGGGGAACCCCGCGTGCAGGGAAGCCTGCGGCGGCGATCCTTTGCGGGGCAACCCGCGTGACGCAGGCGAGCTCGGACAATATGAAGGCCCTCACTCCACTTTTGTGCTGCGCGGCGGGTCTTCGAGCCGCCTGGTTTGGAGACGCGTATATCGCACTGACGATGGTGATGGAGAATGGGATGCTGCGAGCCGTCCGCCATGCCACCATCGGCGGAGTCATTCACGTGGACACTCGCGCGCCCGCTCAAGCGGCGCGCAGCGTCCTCGTCCACATGAGCCGAGCGAAGCGAATCGCCTAGAAGGGAACGTTCGCGGGGAAACCTGCACCAGGGTGACGAATGCCCAGGTGGACCCGAAGGCCCGCGTCAATTCAGACTTGCCGGCGGACATTACGACGGGCTTGCCCGCCAATCTGTTCCACGCGAAGACTTGGAGTATTGGCTGGGCAAGGGTTACACCGAGCACCAAATCCGCCACTGGTGGTCATTGAATAATGCGCAGCGGGACGACCAAGGTAACATCGCCTGTGCCAACTGCGGCACCAAGGCAGCCGCGCGGCTGCGTTGGAAAAGACGGACGCAACAAAAATAACCATCATTGCGGTTCGGAAGGAATATCGAGAAAAGGCCCGTGGATGCGAACATTGTGCAGACCGCAGACCGAAATGCCCGATGGGGCGCCCTTCAAGGAGCCCCATTTTCGAGCGGACCCCGTGGGTCTGGTCCCACGGGGATGGACTAGGATGCAGGGCGGGCCCAACCTGCAACCCCAGAGAATAACTTCTGACCAAGGATGATTACCAGCCGTTAGACGGTCATCAGGCACAACGCGTTGAGCAATAATGGGAAGTACTCGATAGGAACCACCGACTTTAAGCGGTACAATCAAGGATACCACGAAGCCACGCGTAAAGCACAAGCGGCCCCTTCTGCGGGGCAACCCGCCTCTTCCTTTCACGGAGGTGCCAACAAGTCTGCGGCTGGCAAAAGGGCGAAGCTTCTGGCCTCGCACCAGCTGTTGACCCCACTGCACCTGCGTCTGGGTCGGAATATCCATATGGATCCTCCAGCGGCGAAGCCGCTGATCCAGACTTGGACATTACTGTGCCAATAGCGGAGGACATGACTTGGAAACAGGTACGACAGTGGCCTATCATGCCCGAAGTTTGGGATGGATAACTTCCAAGGTGCGAGGCAAGCTGCTCGATCGAAGGTACAAATTGGATAGTTAAAGGAAGGCGAATAGTAAAACCATGGCACTTTACAAACCTGTGAGGAAGCCTTCGCCAGACAGATCCCGGATACCGTGGATCGGCGCTGGGCCCCCTTGGCAGCGGATCCAGCGCCGCCCGCGGCGCGCGCGCGGCTTGCGCGCCAGGCAGGGGGCCCAGCGCCGATCCGAGACAGCCCTGCGGAGCTCGATTGTTTTATGTTGATGCAGTTGTGGGTTTCTCTGCTCATGATCTTTCTCCTTCCCGCTCCTCCTCGGGGGCTGTAGAGGTGGGCTTTGCCATCTCAAGATGAGCGAACAAGTCGAGTGATTAGCGGAGGAGGAGGAGGAGGAGGAGGAGGAGGAGGAGGAGGAGGAGGAGGAAGAGGAGGAGGAGGAGGAGGAGGAGGAGGAGGAGGAGGAGGAGCGAGGAGGAGGAGGAGGAGGCAGCATGGAGAGGATGGGAGAGGGGGTGAGAAGAAAGATGATCAGGAGGAGGAGGTTGTTATGTAGGTCCGGCGCCGGCCCTGGCGCGCTCAACGCGCCAGGGGGGGGGGGGCCCAGCGCCGATCCGAGAAGTCCGCGCGGAGCCCTGAAAGTTTATTCCAGGGAGGGAGTGCCGCCCCCACCCCGCAATTGGCGTTTACCAAACAGCCCTGGGCGTTCACTATGCAGTCCTGTCCTGTTCGATACCTTCTTCACGTGTGCGTTACTAGACGGCTTCGCTCGTCGGGTTGCTTATTCTGAGGTTGTTTTTTTCTGCTCCTGCCGTGTTCTTTTCTGCCGTGCTGTCCTTGTGCCTGGCCTCATGTGTGCCGTGCTGCCTGTTATGTGTGTTCCTGCCGTGCTTCCTTCCGCTACCTGCGGCCTCCCGCGCGGGGTACTTGGCCCACCGCCCCCGTGGATGCGGGGCGCGGCTGCCCTGCGAGTGACTCTTCTCCATGCGGCCGCCCATGTCCACGGGATCGCGCTCCCGAAGCCAGACCGCGAGGGCGTGGGGGCAGCATTCTGGTGTCGCATGTGCTCTCACAACATGCGCCAGCCTGAACCACATCCCTGTCCTTGTGTTTGGCGTCTCCTTAGCCCAGTGCCGATTTCAAGGCTTCCTTTTCTGAAGGCACATCCCTGACATTGTCATCGCCTTGGTCTTGTGGGTCTTAGGGATACGGATAAGCTCGAGCCTGGTTAAACCCACGACGGCGTGGGTCCAGCACTCCGATGTCGTATTGCGAAGGCCTTACGGCCGGTGCCGGCGTCCCTAAAGGAGGACGACGACGACGGTGACGACGATAAGCGTTCCAGAACTCGCGCAAAATCGTTGATTTAGCCCTCGTGGGCTCGTGGGGTTGTCTTGGGAGTGGTCTTGGAGCTCCTGGGAGCCTCTTGGGGGCCTCTTGGGGGCCTCTTGGGGACTTCTTGGGCGCCTCGAAGGCGTGTACTCTGCACTCCGATGTCGCATTTGATTTCGCAACGTGAGCCCCAGAGGTCTTTTAGCCGCGGCTGGGACAGGCATACATCGTTCCAGAGCGTTCTGAAATGCTCTGGGAATGCCGCGGCGCCCGATACATCCTGCAGAACAGCCGGATCTCAGGGATCCCCGATTCATTCTTGTCCAATCTTGTCCTTGTCCTGGCCTCGTCTGAGGTCTGGGCCCCTTCGCAAGGACCTGTTTTTTATCCTGAGGCTTTTGGAGAGGTGCCCTGCAGAGCTTCATCGAACCAGAAAGCTGTCAAACACCGCCCGTCGTGATTTTTGTTTTACGACGAGAAGAGGTGGGGGGGCCATGTGGGGCCACGGATGCATCCGCCGCTCGCGATGGCCGTCGCCGCGGGGCGGCGGCGCCGCGGGAGGCCATCTGCGAGGCCATGGGCGGCGCCGTGACGCCGCAGATGTCGGAGAGGCCGCAGTGGGCGCTCTTCGCCGAGGCGCGGCGCCCTCCTCCCGCGAGGGGCCGGATGCCGCCTGGGGAGGAGGACCTTCCTGGGGGCCACCCAACGTATCGCTTTGGCCCTAGTTCGAACCCGGGTCATCTCTACCTCGACTCTAGGTCAGCTCCAGTTCACTCAAGCTCGACTCAAGTTCGACTCAGGTCGACAATATTCGACGCAGCATCGACGCACGCGTGGAGCTAGTGGCTGCAGGAGGGTCCCCAGAACGAGCATCGACCGCCTGGGGAGGGAGGGGTGCGGGGAAGACGTGTGTCCATATGTCGCCGCGCCGTGTGTTCCGACGCGCGGCCTTGCGTCTTGGGGAGGGCGCCTCGGCCACCAAGGCAAAGGCCACCTCGGACGCAAGGTTTGCAGTGAGGTTTGCCGCGGTGCCGGCTTCGTCTACTTGAGCGCGTTCAGAACAAATTGCACGGCGGCATGTTCACTGCAGCTTGGAGTTTCGGGCTACCTTCCCCAGAAACCCAAGGCGCATTGCATATGGGCAAAAATCTGGCCCCTAGAGGCTCGATGTTCATCCATGTCCAGTGCGCCCCGGCCTTGTGGCGCCCCTTCCAAGAAAGTCCAAGACGCACTGGATATGGATATACATCTGGTCTGCAGGGGGTGGGCAGGTAAGTTAGATGCTCGTTTGGGGACCTTCCTGGGGGCCAGCTAGAGGATCTGGTCGACTCTTTTTTGAATATAGTTCGACTCTAGCTTGACTCAAGTTCGGTTCAAGTTCGACTCAAGTTTGCGTCACGTTCGACTCAAGTCGACGGACGTTTGGCGCAGCATCAACGCATGTGTGGAGCGAGTGGCCCCAGGAAGGTGTCGAGAACGAGCATCGAAGTCGTGCTTAGGGCTGCGCGGGTCCCTCGAGTAGTCCGGGGCGGGCTCAACACTTTGGCGCCGCCTTCAGCGGCGCCCCCTGCGGCGCTCCTCCCCCCGGGGGGGAGGTGTTGGGACCGCCCCGGACCACTCGGAGGGCCTGTTGAGGCCAGCTGGGACCACTCAGGGGGGGCCGCTTGGGCGCAACCCGAAGCGGGACCCAGGGCCAGAGGAAGGAGGGGAGGAAGGAGGGGCCAGGAGGGGGAGCCCAGGGGAGGGCGAGCTGAGACCACGGTCGTTGGCCTTCGGGGGGCCCCCGCGTCGCCACGGCTGGACGCAGCTCGGCAAGCCGGTGCGTTCGGGCTCCAGGAGGGGTCCGTGGACCGATGTTGAGGTGCACGGGTCAGAAGTGGTCGGAGTTCCACGCGGGCTTCTCGGATTGGTGCTGGGCCCCCAGGGCGGCGCTTCCAGCGCCGCCCCTGGCACGCTCCACGCGCCTGGGAGGGTTCGGCGCCGATCCTAGATGTCCGCTCGGAGCTCCGAAAGATTGTGTTGATGTTTATGTTGGATCCTCTGTCCTTCCTGTCCCCTCCCCTTTTCGGGGATTCGCAGAGGTAGGGTGATCTTAAGATGAGCGATCAGTTGAGTGACGAGAGGAGGAGGAGGAGGAGAAAACATGAGGAGGATGGAGGAGGAGGGGGGTGAGATGAAAGATGGCTCGAAGGAGTAGGTTGGTCGGTTGGTTTGTTGTATGTATGCGCTGGTCGGTTGTGATCGCACAGGCTTGTTGCCTGCCTGCAGCGTTATCGCTGTCGCCAGGGATCCCTGCCTGCCTCTCTCTCTCTCTCTCCTCCCTCGATGGAGGAGGGTGGAGAAGCAAGCTTTCTCCGCACCACCCTCGGCTGTTCCCTCGGCGGCGTCTCGTCAACAACCCCGCCTTCCCTCCGCGATGGCTGGAGAGGTGTCCTCGTCCTCTGCGTCGTCTTACCCCTATCTCAAGTCCTCCTCGTGGTGGCCAGCCTTTCCTTCTCGTCGTCCTCGTACTCTCCCAGGATGAGGACGGCGACGAGGATGAGAATGGAGGATTACAACGAGCACGAGAAAGCGGAGGAGGGCGAGGAGAAGGATTCGTGCTCGTTCTTCTGCTCGTCTTCGCTGTTCAGTTCCTCCTTTACCTCCTCCTCCTCCTCGTCGTCCTCCTGCTTCCAATCACCCCGTTGTCCTATGGTCCTCCACCTCCTCTCCTAGTTCTTGTCGTCGCCCTCCTCACGAGGAGAAGACGCCACCATCGACGCCATCATAATTTTTACGACGATCAGCATCTATGGAATGAGTCACCGTCCTCGTTATGCTCCCCATCCTCGTCGCCCTTCTTTTCCGTGTCGTCGTCGTCGTCGTCGTCATCGTCCCCATCCTCTTCATTCTCCTTGTCCCCTTTTGTCTTCGTCAGTGTCCTCTTCGTCCTCATCCTCTCCCTTGCCCTCGCGGTCCTTGTCCCTGTCCTCCCCTCATCCCCCATCGCCCCTCTACTCCTGTTCCTCCTCCCCCTCCTCTTTTTTCTCCCTCTCGTCTTCCTTATTCCTCTCCCTTCTCCTCGACCCTCGTCCGCCCCTCTCCTCTTCTCGCCCCCCCACCCACGCCCTCCTTCCCTGCCTCCCCTGAACTCCAAAGTCGTACGTTTCACACCTCGGACACCTGGAGGTCTGGAGCCCTTCTCCGGGACCGGCTGCTCCTGCGGAAGAGGTCACCGACGTTCCCGGGGCCTGGCATACGGGCCCCCCGGAGGCCAAACACTGCCAGCAGCGCCTGTCGTGATCCCGTGTCCGGGGGCTCGTAGAGGGAGGGCCATCCCAAGGTGGGGTTGGGGAGCGGGCCCGGCTGGATGCTCCCGTTTAACGCGTTTCCCTATTCCAGCGGCCGCTTGGAGCGATTTTCCCTCCAACCCCCACCTTTGCTCTAACCCCCACCCTTGTGCCCCCCCGAACGTAGCAACAGGAGAACTTGGGGGTTCTCCACGACCCTCCCTCCCTGGCGGAGGAGGATGAGGAGGAGGAGGAGGAGGAGGAGAGAGGAGGGGAGGAGGATGCGGCATGGAGGAGGAGAAGCAGGAGGAGGCGCGGAGGAGAAGCCGTGGAGGAGGAGCAGAAGGAGAAGGACCCGTGGGGCAGGAGGAGGAGGAGGAGGAAGAGGAGGAGGAGGTGGAGGGGGAGGGGGAGGCTGTTGAGGAGGAGAAGCGGGAGGCGGTGTGGAGGAGGGTGAGGAGTGAGCCACGCCGGCGGCGGAACAGGTGTCCCGCATGCTGTCCGGCGTGCTGGGGCTGTGCGGCGAGGGCGCGGCCCCGGCCCTATATGGGGTGAGCCGTCGGCCGGCAGCGAGGGATGGGGGGGGGCGTAGAGGCAGAGAGCGCGGCGCCTGCAGATGGGGAGGGGGGGGTCACAGCTGAAGCTCTGGGGCAAGGTCATGGATGGCGTTGGGGAGGCAGTGTGGGACATGGCGCCGCCTGCCCTCTTAGGACACACGCTCTCCCCCATCCTTGAGATCGCGCGCGCCGAAGAAGCCCTGACAGGGGAGTTGGATGGGTTGGGGCCCACCGCGTGCATTCGCCGTGCGCATGGCTTGTTGGAGGCCGCGGGCAACCGACCCCGGGCTCAGGTCTGGGGTTCGCCTTCCTGCCACCTTCTCCGCGCCACGTGCGGTGTGTAATTAGTGTTTCCATACAGTTATTGACTTGCGTTGGCGGGTGCATGCGCCCAACTTGTTATTTGATACGAATGACTCTCTGCATGGTGCTGCTAATATCCTTGGTTGCCGCAGTGTGAGGCTGAAGTGCATCGGTGGTCGGTCGGACCCTGGGGCAACCCGCACCTCGCATCGTGGAGTGATGTGTCCTCACCGCCTGGCAGGGCACGAATCTAAATCTAGATGATACGTTGCCGGGAGTTTTCGTATCAGTATTATTGTCCTCCTCTTCCTCCTCCTGCTTCCTCCTCCAACGGAGTCCGGGGCCATTGCAGAGAGAGAGAGAGAGAGAGCGGCACTTGTGGTAGCTCAGTGGCCTCACCATTGCGTCGCCGAGTCTGTCATCGTGTTGCTGTGTCCGCTCCCCCCTCCCCTCCAACAGAGGAAGCCCTGGCAGGGTATTAACGTGGACAGAAGGGGCCATCGAGGGGGCGAAGGGGGTTCGCAGTAATTACAGGGATACCGTGCTTTTCAGAGATCGATGTTGCACGCAATCTTCCCAACGCCAACCGTAAGGGAGTGTATGCTCAGGGGGGTCAACGATAGGGGGGAGGGGCGCAACGTTGAGGGGGAGAGGCTCCTCGTTCGCTTCAGGGGGTAACAAAAGGGGGGATGGGCCACAGGTTCGTGGTTTTCGGTCGCCTTCGTCGGACCTTTGCGATTTTGCACTTTCGGGACGCTGTCCAGCAGCAGCTGCTTGCCGAGAGCGTGCCAGGGGTACTCAGACCGTCCCGAGCGGTCTGCGGCGGCCCGAGCTGTGGCCCGAGAACCACTGGACACGGGGATGCACTCGGGGTTTCGGATGCATCCACCCGCAATCGGCCGCTCGTCGCCAAGAACTGCCCGACAGCCCGAGGATGCGCTCCATGCGCTCCCGGGGGCCCCATCGCCGATCCATCGGCGATGTGGCGACGATTCTGGGTCGGTGGTTCTCCCCTTTGAGCCTGGCCCCTCCTTCTGCTCTGCCTCAAGCCTTGGAGCGGGTGCCCGTCCGTCCCGTGGGGCCCGTCGCCGGGAGCACCGCCAGATCTCTGCGGACCTACCCGCGGGGCCGTTTTGGAAAACGACTCGGACGGAAGGGCCGGTCGCGAGGAGAGCCTTGTGGGTGCAGCACCCGTTGGTCTTGGCTTCGACTTGCAGGCGGGGGGAGGGATGGTGGGTGGAAGCGGAGGAGGGACAGGCGTCCTTGCCCACGCTCGGCCTTTCAACCCCCCCTTCCCCCGGGCATTTGGCCGGGGCGGCGGGGCTGGATAGGTGGTGCACAGCCGTTGACGATCGTTCTGCAGGAGGGGGAGGAAGTGCAGAGGGTGGGGGGGAATGGAGGAGGGGGGGGGGAGGGAGCAGGGAGGCGGATGGCGACAGAGCGAGAAGGAGGGCTCAGGGAGAGGAGGAGCACGGGGAAGAGAGGCAAGAGGAAGAGGATGGGGGAGGAAGAGGATGAGGGGGGAAGGAGAGGGGAGGGATGAGGAGGGAGGGGAGGGAGCGCCAAGAGGATGGAGGAGGAATGCGAGGGTCGGGTGGGCCGAGGTCCCCTCGCACTCGCACATACGCGGGTCGGTGGCCTTCGCCACGTGTGGCAGATACCACGGGTGCGAGCCGGCGGCGTTGATGGGATTGTGGTTCGTCGGGGGCTCAGCGTCGCCGCCGTCGTCGTCCCCGCTGGGGGAGGCAGATGGAGGGCAGAGGGGCTCGCAAGAAGGACGAGGAGGAGGAGGAGGAGGAGGAGGAGGAGAAGGAGGAAGGGGGAGACGTGAAACAGGAGGTGGAACAGGGATAAGGAGAACAGACGCCGGCGGAGGTTGCACAGGAGCTCAGCGGAAGGACGATAATGACGATGATGAGGGCAAACGGTGAAGACCGAGGAGGGGTGAAGACGCGGAGCAGCAATGACAAGGTGACGGAGGGAGAGGATCAAATAGTGAGGAACAGGAGAGATGTAACCGTAAAAAGAGGAAGAAAGCCAAGGATGAGGGGCGGATCGTTGGAAGGCGTATGAAACATGAGGAAGAGGGTGCGGAGAGAGACGGAACACGAAGGTAAAGAGGCAGATTAATGATGGGAAACGTGAGGGATGAATGATGACCTAGAGAGACACGAAGAGAAGCAGCCGGGCGACTGACGGCAATGAGGATGGCCGGAAGGCTACGAAGGACGGCAAGCACAGCCAGTGTAGAAGGACAGCGAAGAGTTGTAACCATGATGCCGGCAAGGTGGTCGTTTTTTATTTATTTTTTTGCGGATCGGCGCGGGCCCTCGCATCTCCCCCCCTCCCCCCCCCCATGGAGTAGATCTTCGCTGTTTTGGGCGCCTGTTTCGAGCAGGTGGAGTTCCTCCCCCATGGAACGCACTGCTGCAAACAGTCTCATTAAGCCGTCAGGGCCAGACCCCCCCCTCCCCCCCCCTCTGCCCAATGCCGAAACGCCGAATAAGCAAACGCTCACAAGAGGGAGGGACATGAGGATTGGAAGACAAATGATACATGAGGACTGGTTTGGGCAGCGCCGACAGCTCCAGGAATAAGAGGCGCGACAGCAGGATGCTGGTACATGTGGAAGACGTAGGAGGGTGAATCCAAGGAGTGGCAGGGAAAAGGATTGGTATGATAACGCGGGGAGGAGGAAGGAGTAGGAGAAGGGGGGAGTATGGAGGAGTCCGGAGGAGTATCGAGGGGGCGGGCTTGAGGAGGACCTGCCCACGATGAGAGGGGAGGGGAGGGGGCGGAGGAAGATCAGAGCAAACATACGATATACCAACGATGCCGCGATGCACCATGCCGCCCCAATTCCCCTGCCCAGCCAGCCGTGCACTCTTGCAGGGCAAGCGTCACGATCATAACGAGGGAGAGGCGTAAGGCCGAATGCCCGGCTTGGCCTGCCGACGCGCCTGGTGGCGCGGCGAGGAGGAGCTATCTGCAAAGACGGGGCCGGGGAGGGGGAGGTTGGGGAGGAAAGGGAGGACGGCGAGAGGAGCAGGAAAAGGAGGAGGAAAAGGAGGAGACAGTCCTCCTTTAATTCCAGCATATCATCGCCATAGGCGGTCACACAAGTGACCTGGCTGTTTAGTTTGATGAGCCCCCGCAGGGCCAACCAGCCCTGGGAGGGGGAGGCTACATCCAGAGGATCTTGCAGCTACCAGGAACCAACAACTACAAGTAGGACAAAGGACAGAGCAAGCATGAGTAACAGGAGGAGCTGGGGCAGGAGGGACAGGGAGGACGGAGGACACTCCCAGCGCTAGAGGGGCCGTCTGTTGCGCGTCGCTCCTTCTACTTCCATTGTTGCTCGCCCGTTGTCTTCGCACTGGTGGCGTGAGGCCCCAAGGGTTTGCCAGTGTTGGCGTCTGGCCCCAGCCGGTCGTTCGAGCTTACACGAAACGAGCGTCACTGAGGACAGCAACAGCCTCCTCGACTGCGTCGGCAGCGGCGCAGTGCGAAACTCCTACGACTGCTCGCCGAAGCACCTCCGTGCTGCCTTCCTGTGCGCTCTGTACAGGGCGACGATCGCCGAGGACAAGCGGCTAGGCGCCAAGTGCAGCGCGCGAGGGGGGAGGAGGTGTGCGAAAGAGCGTGCAGGGAGAAGGAAGAGGCGCGGGATGCGGAGAAGGTTGTCGATTGCGCGCGAAGCTGTGTGGCTCGTTCCAGGAGAGGCCTCTCGCCTTCGAGGGCCGAGTGCGTTGACGTGTCGTCCTCGGCGGGCGGCGGCGGGCGGCTGGCGGAGGGCAGCCGAGGTAGAGCGGGGGCCGCTCCGCCAGCGGAGGTTCGGACGGGAGGCAGAGCTGCGCCCCCCAGGGGATGTCAACACTCCTGGGTCCAGGGTTTCCAGGATTCCAGCCGCGGCGAAGTGTCCTGGCTTGACTTCAGGGCCACCACAGAGTGTTCTGCGAACCTTTTGTGGATGTTGTGGTTTGGACGAAATGCTCTGAGGTCATTTCTCGCCGAGACCGTCTTGTTTTAATACATCGGGCTTACTTTCTAAGAGCATTATGCTTGTTATTGTTCTGAGAGCGTTCTTGTGTTCTCGGAGAATTTCCTGGTAGACCTATACGAATGCCGGGACGGTCGGTCTCTGATCAAATAACGGGCCGTGTGAGTTCGAGTCGTCATGAGTCAAGCCATGGCTAGGGCATATTACAGTCGCGTGAAGCTCGGCATGGGGAGTCGCGGCCTCGCCCCGTAATGGAGGTGTTGCCTGGCGGGGTGAAGGGGTCAGCGATGTGCAAGGAGTCAGGGGGCAGCATTAGGAGGGAAAAGGAGAGGACCAGAGTAACGCGTTTTGTTCTGATGTCGGATGTGGGTGTCCCGCTTGGGGTGGGTTCGCAACACCAGCCTGGGTAGTGTCCGTCCACCAGTGCAGAGTTGCGAGAATACCTCGGGGCAGGCCTGCGCTCATCTGGAGGCCCGATGGAGAAGACGGGTAATTATCACAGCAGCCCGAACTTTTAGCCATAGTCATTAGGAGGGTGGATCAAGGAGGCAATGAAATGGGACCACGATGGCAGCTTGACGCCGGCATCCGATATCACGTGATACACCTGGTGGGGACCCCGAGACGGAGGAGGTCGTGAGCAAAGCAGAGGGTGAGATGTGGCCACCCGCTGCAAGGGGCATTCCTGGACCGCGTGGCTGAGGAGGTTGGGCCTCACAGGTGAAGCGCACTGTTGAAGGGGAGCAGCTGAACTCGCGGAATCTGCACACTCTGGCCTAGACAGCATAGTTGTGACCACCTGCTTTTCTAGACTGGTTCTTGTGCGTGCCCCTTGCAGCCTGTGGGCCCAGCCCGCCGGCTGCAAGAAGAAGCATGTCAAAATCGTTGGAATCGTCGGACGAGGCAGGCGAGCCACTCCAACCTGCAGAGGAGAGTTAAACTGGGCCTCAACCGTAGAGTGACGTGCCAAGCTACTTGGGCAAACCAGGTCTGCTATTTCAAACACACCCGATGTGCAAGGACTGGAAATACCAACGCCAGGACATGTGCAGCATGCTGATCGTATGAATGCCAGCAGTTGAAGGGTAGCGCAGGGAACCCGAGTGGGTGCAGAGCAGACAACCAGTCGATGATACAATCGCAATCGCTGGTCACCTGAGGTAGCAGGCCATTGCCATCATTCGGAGGGCCACTCGAAAGACTAACCTTCAGACAAGTCCAAGAACAGGATAAATGCATGGAGCGTTGCAAGCTTGTGAACGTGCGAACTGCCATCTTGAGAACAGCTCTGCCCAGCCGCTAGTTCAGCTTCTGTATGGCAGGCAACTACAGTTTTAGCGATCCGCCGACCCTGTGATCTAGCGAGCTGAGCGGATGCTGGAGCGGCACGATGGCAGGGCATGCATTGCTAATCGAACACCCGCCACCTACGTACATAGCAACTACCGTCGTTGTGAAACTATTGCAAGGTATCAAGCGCATCATCGCACGCTAGTTCATGGTAAAGCCTTGCATGTGCGGTCGCCACTGCATACATGGGTGCATTCCTTGCAGTCTGACTTAGACGTGAGGGGGAGTAACATGCATGAGGGAGTAGGAGGACCGAGGAGTAACGATGCGGACGTATGACGAACCCGAGGCAGACGATTGAGGAGGCGAATGAGGAGGAAGATGGAGATGAGGAGGGGTTGCGAGCATAGTTGTTTGGACTTGTTGCCAGGGAAAGGAGATGGAAGAAGGAGGGGGAGCTGTTTGAGGAGTGTGGATGAAGAAGGAAGAGGAAACCAGATGACGCAACGACGGAACTTTGAGCAGAATGATGAGGTGCGATGATGAGGGGTGACGAGGAGGAGGACGAGGAGGAGGACCAGACGTAGGAGGAAGGAACGGCGAAAGAGGAGGACAAGGAGGTGCAGAGAAGGGTTCAGGGAGGAAGAGAGGGAGGACAGTACAGGAATAGGACTAAGGATGCACAACACATTAGAAGCAGGACAGGAGAGATGTGGGCGAATGGAGGGGGATGACGAGGTAATGGAGGCGGGGGGATGTGATTGAAAGGCGTTGTATGAGGGAGGAGGGAGGAGGAGGAAGTCGGGGAGGTGCACGCGGGGTAGATGATGCGGAGGAGGGGGCGAGGTTGAGGAAGAGTGAGAGGTCCGGGAGGCGGAGGAGGAGGAGGAGGAGGAGGAGGAGGAGGAGGAGGAGGAGGGGGGGGAGGCACCCATGTCAGAGGAGAGCCGACTCGGGTGAGCCAGCCCGCAGGTGCTGTGCTATCGCCATACACCCGCGGCCGAAGCCGAAGCAAGAACCGAAATGCGCAGAACAACGGAAATGGCCTACGCTGCAGGTTTGGATGACAGCACGATGTTGACCAGTGCTGCAGCCTCCCCTGGGCAAAACCCCCCCCAGAGCATCAGCCAGAAGAATTGGGTTTGCATCCTCATGCCTTGCCAGACTCTGGGCGCATTTCGGCACTGTCACTGCCGCCGTCGCCCCCTCGTGAGGGCCACCGGCTCGGGTAACGGCGACAGCGACGGTGGCGGTGGCCGACACGTCTAAGCTTGGCGGCGTGAAATGCCAGACCGCGAGGAGGTCGATATCATTTGATATGGAGGGGGGGCAACATACAGTCGGAGCGTTGACCCAAGGAACCCTAAAAAAGGAACGAGGCCCCTTCTATCCACAAGTTGAACTTCGATTTCCCATCGAAAACCAAAAGACAACCCAAGGCAAACTGTGAAGCAATCGAAAAGCACGGAGCCCCTCCCCAACGAAAAGGGTTCCTTCTTCAGGGCCCCGACTGTAGTAGCGGGATAAGGGTGAAGAGCGGGGAGATATAGAGAGAGATGAGAGAAAGAGGAGATGAAGAAGAGGGAGCAGGGGCGTGTTGGGGGAGGAGAAATTCCAGTAGGCGTGATATAGGAAGGAGCCAGATGCAGGAGGATTCGGTTTGATGGGTCCGACGAGGAGGAGGAGGAGGAGAAGAACCAGTGCAAACGTAGGATTCAATAGCGATGTGGCAATAAACCCTCCCACCAAACTCCCTCTTCATGGGCTCCTGGAAGGATCCTTCTCCACTGCGGGAAGCCCCCTGTGGGAAGACACGCGTTTGAACATGTTGAACTGTGTCAGAGCACTATGCTTGAGATTTCAACGCCACGAATCAAACTTCCTGGTGCGTCTTGACGATCCTGGATCATGCCATAACAGTTTTTCTGGGATATCGACATTGCGAATCCACGTAACTGCTGCGCCCTCACCCAAACACAATGTCTGCTACGATAACCATGAGAACCCGTGGTCTCCCTGCAATTGGTCAAACAATTTCGCGCGGCGCTAGACAAGAGCTGCATTTCAAACGAAGCCGCCCTCAATCCGCGGATCTCTTCAAAATGTTTAAGACGAATGTGCGCGGCGCTGAGGCGAGAACTATATGTTGAATCTGAGTTGTCCTCAATCAGTGAAGCTCTTGTAATTCCTTCAAAGAAATGTGCGCGGCGATAAGGCGAGAGACACATGTTGAAAACTACCCGCCCTCGACCTGCGAAACTCTTGCAACGTTTTGAACCGAGTGCGCGCGGCGCTAAGGCGAGAGCCACATTTTGGAAGCGACCCGCCTTCCATCTGTGAAGCTGGTGCCTTCTTGTCCGGCACGTCCTTCTGACCAGCCTCGGCGTGCGACAGGGAGGAGTTATGTATCGAAGACGCCTACGGCGAATCACCGCCGCCCCCTGCCTTTTTGGAAGCGCCTATGTGGCCGAACGTCGAGGCCAGACCTGCCAAGCTATCGGACCATGTGTTCCCGAATCGGTTTGGAAAGCCTTCGGGGAACACGTGGGCATTTTGAAGGTCATGTTGGCCGTCTGGAGGCTTTTGACCCTTTCGGGCCTTCTTGGCGGACGTCTTGGAGGGCTCTTGGGCCGTCTTGGAGACCATCTTGAGCGTCTTGGAGACCTCTTGGGCCGTCTTGGGGGCCTCTTGGGGCCGTGTCTTGGGCCTTTGGGCGATCTTTGGGGGCATTTGGGCCGTCTCGGGCTGTCGGAAGGCAAACAAAAAACAGCTGCCACAATCTTTCAAACACCTATGGGAAATCAATGATTTTGGCCTTTCCCGGCCTTCTTGAGGCCCTCTTGGAGGCCTCTTGGGCTGTCTTGGGCCATCTTAGGGTCATGTTCGGCCGTCTTGGTGGGCTCCTGGTCCGTCTGACGCCGTCGGAAGCCGTTTGGGTGGCCTCTATGGGCCGATTTGGGGCCCTCTTGGAATGCTCGAGGGCCGTCTTGGAGGCCTTGGGCGTCTTGAAGGCCTCCTGTGCCGTCTTGGGGGCCTCTTGGGGCCGTCTTGGGGCCCTCTTGGGCCGTTCTGGGGCCATCTTGGAGGCCTCTTGGGCGATCTTTCGGCGATCTTTGGGGGCTCTTGGGCTGTCTCGGGCCGTCGGAAGGCCGAAAAGAAGCAAAGTTCAACATCCGCCCAAAATCTTTGGAAAATCAATGTTTTTGGCCTCTGCTGGCCTTCCTGGAGGCACTCTTGGGGGCCTCTTGGGCCGTCTTGGGCCAGTTTCGAGCCAACTTCGGCCACCTTGGTGGGTTCCTGGCACGTCTGACGCCGTCGGGAGCAGTCTTGGGGGTCTTTCTGGGCCGACTTGGGGCCCTCTTGGGGCGCTTCGGGGCCGTCTTGGAGGCCATCTTGGGCGTCTTGGAGGGCATCCAGGGCGTGTTGGAGGCCTCTTGGGCCGTCTTGGGGCCCTCTTGGGGCCGTCTTGGGGCCCTCTTGGGCCGTTCTGGGGCCCTCTTGGGGGCCTCTTGGGCGATCTTGGGGGCCTCTTGGGCCGTCGTGGGTCGTCGGAAAGCCGAGAAGAAGCAAATGCCAAAATCCTTCAAACACTTTTGGAAGATCAATGATTTTGGCCTCTTCGGGCCCTCCTGGAGGACCTCTTGGAGGCCTCTAGGGTCGTCTTGGAGGCCTCTGGGGGGCCTCTTGGGCCGTCTTGGGCCATCTTCAGTTTATCTTAGGCCGTCTAGGGTACATCTTGGGCCGTCTTGGAGGCATTTTGGGGCCATCTGAGCCGTCTTGGAGGCCATCTTGGCCGTCTTGGAGGCACCTTGGCCGTCTAGGAGGCCATCTTGGGGCCATCTGGGGCAGGAAAACCGTTTGCAATCGGGTCTTCCGGGTGGCCGGCGGGACGCGCCGGAGCCCCAGGGGGAGTTCTTTTGGAAAAGAACCAAAACCAAAAGCGATAGGATTCGGCACGCCAGGCACCCCTGCGTTGAATCGACAGGGGGCGACGGATCGAAAGGTCTTCGGCCCATCCCGCCACCGTGCCTGGGCTGTGGGTATGAAGTTTGTTGGATATTCGTTGGGATTTCGCGTGGGGCCTCTCGGGGGCCTCTTGGAGGCAGTTTGGACGCCTCTTGAGGGCCGTGTTGGAGCACCTTGGGGCCTCTTGGGGGCCTCCTGAGGGCCTCGTGGGGCTCTTGGGGGCACCCTGGGGCATCCTGGGCTCCCGTTGGGGCCTCCTGGGGGGGGCCTCTTGGGGCGGAAAGCTCGGATGTTCGGTTCGTGTCCCTCTCTTAGGCCCCTTTTGGGGCAGTCTTGGGGCCTCTTGGATCGCGTTGGGAGCCTCTTGGGCCGTCTTGGGGTCCTCTTGGGCCGTTTGGGGACCTCTTGGAGGCCTCTTGGGCCGTCCTGGGGCGGTCTTGGGGTCCTCTAGGGCCGCCTGGGAGCGTCGGGAAGCCGAAAAGGCGAGAACTCCAAAACAATTATCCCGGCAAAGCAACCTAACAGCGATGTGTATAAGCATATTTGGAAGCGTTCCCCTTAAGATTCAGGTGAGAATCCAGTTGTAGAATTCTGCTGTTCTCGAAGTCGCAGTCGCATTCCCAATGACAGTCGCAGTGGCAACGGCCTTATGATCCAAAGGATTCCTAGGGATTCCTAGGGATTCCTAAGGCATCCTTAGGCATCCTTAGGAATCCATAGGAATCCTTAGGAAACCTTGGGAATCCTGATTCCTAGGGATTCCTAAGGTTTCCTACGGAATCCTAAGGATTCCGAAGGATTCGCCTGCCTCGGCCTCAGCCTCGGCCTGCCTCAGCCTCAGCCTGCCTCAGCCTCAGCCTCAGCCTGTCTCAGCCTCAGCCTGCCTCAGCATCAGCCTCAGCCTCAGCCTCAGCCAGCCTCGGCTTGCCTCGGCCTCAGCCTCAGCATGCCTCGGCCTCAGCCTCAGCCTCAGCCTGCCTCAGCCTCAGCCTCAGCCTTCTTCAGCCTCAGCCTGCATCAGCCTCAGCCTCAGCCTGCCTCGGCCTCAGCCGCAGCCTCAGCCTCAGCCTCAGCCTCAGCCTGCCTCAGCTTCAGCCTCAGCCTCAGCCTGCCTCGGCTCGCCTCAGCCTCAGCCTCAGCCTGCCTCGGCCTCAGCCTCAGCCTCAGCCTGCCTCAGCCTCAGCGTCAGCCTGCCTCAGCCTCAGCCTGCATCAGCCTCAGCCTGAGCCTCAGCCTGCCTCAGCCTCATCCTCAGCCTGCCCCAGCTTCAGCCTGCATCAGCCTCAGCCTCAGCTTGCCTCAGCCGCAGCTTGCCTCAGCCTCAGCCACTGCTGCCTCAGCCTCAGCCTCAGCCTGCCTCAGCCTCAGCGTCAGCCTCTCAGCCTCAGCCTGCATCAGCCTCAGCCACAGCCTCAGCCTCAGCCTCAGCCTCAGCCTCAGTCTCAGCCTGCCTCAGCCTCAGCCTGCCTCAGCCTCCTGAGCCTGCCTCGGCCTCAGCCTCAGCCTGCCTCAGCCTCAGCCTGCCTCAGCCTCAGCCTCAGCCTGTCTCAGCCTCAGCCTGCCTCAGCATCAGCCTCAGCCTCAGCCTCAGCCTCTTCGGCTTGCCTCGGCCTCAGCCTCAGCCTGCCTCGGCCTCAGCCTCAGCCTCAGCCTGCCTCAGCCTCAGCCTCAGCCTGCCTCGGCCTCAGCCTCAGCGTCAGCCCCTCAGCCTCAGCCTGCCTCAGCCGCAGCTTGCCTCAGCCTCAGCCACATCCTCAGCCTCAGCCTCAGCCTGCCTCAGCTTCAGCCTCAGCCTCAGCCTCAGCCTGCCTCGGCTTGCCTCAGCCTCAGCCTCAGCCTGCCTCGGCCTCAGCCTCAGCCTCAGGCTGCCTCAGCCTCAGCGTCAGCCTGCCTCGGCCTCAGCCTGCATCGGCCTCAGCCTGCATCAGCTTCAGCCTCGGCCTCAGCCCACGGCTGCCTACAGTTGGCTCCGGGCATTCAAAATGTGGCCTGGGAATGGTGTTCTGGGAACACGAAGAACACGAAGTGGCCTACAGTTGGCTCCGGGCATTCAAAATGTGGCCTGGGAATGTGTTCTGGGAGCACGAAGAACACGAAATGGCCTACAGTTGGCTCCGGGCATTCAAAATGTGGCCTGGGAGTGGTGTTCTGGGAACACGAAGAACACGAAGTGTCCTACACTTGGCTCCGGGTATTCAAAATGTGGCCTGGGAATTGTGTTCTGGGAACACGAAGAACACGAAGTGGCCTAGAGTTGGCTCTGGGCATTCAAAATGTGGCCTGGGAATTGTGTTCTGGGAATGGATTCCTAAGAATTTCTCAGGATTCCTAAGGATTCCTAAGGCTGGCGGATCTGTCGGGTTCCTTGTCCGGTTCCCGCCCAGACCCCCCTGGGGCGTCAAGATGCGTTCTTTTGACACCACTAGAAACCTATCAGCAAAAACTGTTAGGTAATTTCAAAACATGAGGCGGATTCATATTTTTTTGCCTCTTGGGAGACCTCTTGGAGGCCTCTTTGGGCGTGTTGGAAGCCTCTTGGGCCGTCTTGGGGGCATCTTGCGCGTCTTAGGGCGATCTTTCGGCGACTCGGGGCCCCCTTGGACCGTCTTGGGGGCCTCTCGAGGCTCTCTTGGCCCGCCTTGGGGCCCCCTTGGGCCCGAACAAGTCCCGCGACACGATGCGGGGGAACCCAAGGGGCACGCGGGAAGCCCCGGGGGGCATGCGTGTAGCCCCGGGAGATGTGAGATTTGGGAGTCCGACCCCTTTGAAGACTCCTCGGGAGTACGGATCGAGGCTCAGAGGATGAGGTACAGGATCTGAGGACACGCCCTCTCCTTGCCCGGAGGCACGGTGGCGGACAAGGAAAGAACAGGCGTGGAGCAGCGGGAGGAAATGAGAAGGCACCGACCGCCGGCTGCACCCCGCCAGGCGGCATTCGCGGTAGTTGGCAGGCCGTGTTCTCCCAGTTCCCAGAGCTGGGGCTGTGGAAGGAGCTGCGCGAGAAGTTCCGCCTCCGGACAGCCGACAGGTGCGGGGGCTGCCAGCTGTCCCCCTGCACGCCCTGGCCAGGACGACCCTGGGTCTAGGATAGGTGTTCCCAGGTCAGAGGAGGAGAGAAATTACGAACAACACTACTAGTCCTTCGTTGCCGCCGTGTCGTGCCTCCCCGGAGGCCCTCGTCGCCACGGCTGGATTCGCCTCGAAATCTTTGTGAGAACGCACCCCGTGATGGGTCTGGAAAGTAGCGGTATCCGTACCTTCTGGTTTTCTTACCATCGTTCGCTGAAGTAAGGTATTTCTGGATTCCTTGATTTTTCCTTTTTCAGAGGGGCGAGCCCAATCTATTTCCGACGTCTCCCTACTTTTTGAAAGAGCGCGTTCTGTGGTCGCTTGGAGGAGGGGGGGGTGGAACAGGTACCCCCCCCCCCCAGATGGAGCGGGGGCCGGGGGGGGGTTCGAACCCCCGCCCCCTCCGCGACGGACGGGGGGGGGTTCGAACCCCCCCCCCCCCCCCCCCCTCCCTCTCTCTATTTTCTCCTCGGGCCAGCGCCTGCGTCGGCGGCGGCTGGCGGCGGCGGCGGGGACGACGATTTCCGTTTCTGGGCCGGCGCCGGCGTTTGCGGCGGCGGGCGGCGGCGGCGGGGAGCGTCGACGAGGGCGACGGTGGTGGTGATGATGTTGGGTTGTGGTGGTGGTGGTGGTGGTGGTAGTGGTGGTGGTGGGTTGTGGTGGTGGTGGTGGTTTGGTGGTGGTGTGGGGGTGGTTTGTGGTGGTGGTGGCTTGTGGTGGTGGCGGTGGTTTGTGGTGGTGGTGGTGGTGGTGGTGGTGGTGGTGGTGGTGGCGGTGGTGGTGGTGGTGGTGTGGTGGTTTGCGGTGGCTGTGGTGGGTTGTGCTGCTGGTAACTAGTGGTGGTGGTTGTGGCGGTGTTTGTGGTGGTGTGGTAGAGTGTGGTGGTGTTGGTGGTGGGTAGTGGTGGTGGGTTTTTGTGGTGGTGGTGGTGTTGATGGTGGGTTGTTGTGGTGGTGGTGGTGGTGGTGGTTGTTGCGGTGGTGGTGGTTGTGTGGTGGGTTGGTGGTGGTGGAGGTGGGTTGAGGCGGTGGTGGTGGTGGTAGTGGTGGTGGGGCTCTGGTAAGTCCTGAACAGTTTTGGTGAATTTGCGGGGCTAAACGAGATATTCCCACTTGCTTGACCCATGAATGCTGAATAGAAGGGGAGTCTCGGTGAACAGCTCCTGCTACTGCCATGAGATGGAAAACGCCGATGCAAAGCAATCGGCCGAATAAGCGTATACGATGAGCAATTCAACACATATCCAGCGACGGTCTCGGAACCAAGCCCAGCATCTGTGCATTGCTCAACGCAATGTCGTCGGTGCGCGGCTCTCGTATGACGATTCGATACATAGGCGCGATGTCGTCGGCAAGTTTGGCGCGCTGTGCAGTAGTGAGCGGCGGCCGGGTACCCGCATTGTAACGACGACCCGATAATATAACATTTTCCATTAACGTAAATTCCAATTTGCTGCTCAAGCATGGGTCCTCTGAGAACCTTTTCGTAAAGTGGATCAGTATCCCGAAGAACGCTGGGCCCGATGGGCCAACTCGGGCCCCATGCTGCCCCCCGCATCCAAGACACTGCCCAAATGTATGTACTGTCCGACCGAGTGGAAAGCGAACGTGCCGCCTGCCTGCGTGCTGACATTGATGACACCCTCGGTTTTGTTCCACAGGGCCAGTTTGGCACGTTGGGCGCCAGGGCCACGACATTGAAAAACAACAGGTGACTTACCTTTGCCTGCGTGTAACCTCATGCCTCTTTCGGCGAAGCAATCGAACATGAAACTGGTAACGAATGGGGCGACCGCAAGCAACGTCTGGGCCTTGCCCATACACATGAACAAAGAATCGTCAAAAAAGGCCATGTCCAGACTGTGCTCAGTCTAGACCGCGTCTGTGCTGTCAACTTGCTGAGCAATGGAGCGAGACTGAGAGGAGAGGTAGGACATCGCATTTCGAGGCCAAGTTCAAGCAACCGGCCCTGCACGAGAGCCATGGTGGAGGACATCACAAAATCGTATAGATATCTCCCAGTTGCTGTCCTGGTCCTGAGCCTATAGCTGGTAAAGCACTATGTTCGCTGCCTGGAACCACGAACCAAGTGCCATGAAATGCATCAGCCACAAGCGCCTGAAGTCTCCTGGGTAGTCGAGCATGGAACATGGGACCTCTAGCCACTTATTGAGCAAGCTCACCAAGATAAACCAGCCAACATTTTAGCAGCTTGCTAGAGACAGTAGGAAAGGAGGAAGAGGTGGTAGTAAAGATCAAATCTCTGAGGCTCATGAAAAAAAAAGCCAGCGCCGCTTCCAACGGAACGAGAGAGAGGCCTCTCGCTTGCGCGAGCTGCTGGTATAAACGAAGCTCCAACGCTGCATAATCTGCGCCTTCGCTTGGCATGCCTCCATACTGGCGTGGCCGAGCAGCTTCGGGAAAAAAAATGGTCAAATGAGCTCCCAATAAGGACTTGCGACGTTTGCCGGGCTGTGATGGGCCTACAAGTGATTTGTAACAATTGCGATCCACAGGGTCCCCCTTTCTTCAACAGTGACCCATCGTATCCTCCCTTCCATTGGGCGGGCTCCAGAGCTCCGGGGAAAACCTTGGTGATAAGGTGGACGGGGAGGTTGGAAATAATACTGTAAAGCTTGGCGAGCATTCGCCCTGCGATGCCGTCGGGGCCCGCGGCGGCATCCCTGATGCGCCTGCAACTTCGCTCCAACTGACTGATAGTAGGCAGGTCCTGAATGGTAAACTCCAAGTCGTGTGTCGAGGAGTCCTGGAGATCTGGGGTAAGACTGGAAAGCCAGTCCCAATCAGCACATGGGATGACTGTTGCTGCCTCGTTGGAAGTGAAGTGGTGGGTCCACGTGAGCGCAACCTTTGCTCCCTGCTGCTAGCAGGATGCTATTAAAATCTCGAAGCATGGGTAATGGCTTGGGACGTACCTTCTTGCACGAGCAAGCTCCGATGTGCTTCAAACGTGCGTAGGCCCTTTAATGACCCTTGACCGACCAAGCGCTGGTGACCTCACTGGCAATGTCCGAATAATGTGCGCTGGCGTCCGCTCTTACTTGCAAGTTGACGTAGTGGGTGGATGCAGTCAAAACCAGGTGCCTGTGCGCGTGTGTGCGAGCAGCTAGATGTTAAACCCCCAGTAGCCATTCGCCGATGCACGTAAAGTTTGCGAAACCCCATTGGATCCAATGGAAGCCCGTAGGTACTCCCATAGCTGGAGCGTTGACGCTGTTGCCGTTCAAGTATAACCACTTGGCCTTGAGGATGCCCCAGCGAGACTTCCCAAATTTGTCCCGGAGAGGGTCCGTAAGGATCCCTCGCAGAAGATTTTGTAGAGAAATCCAAGCCCCATGGGAGACCTCAAAAGCCTTAACGAGTCAAGTAGACCAAGACGGAGTATGGGAGGACGGCGTCAGCCTGCGCGCACATGTAACCCAAGACTGGTTCCTCTTGGGGACCCATGGTGTGTAAGTAGGGATGGCCCAGACACGGAAACACATGGCTAGGTAAACCTTGCGCCAATGATGTGCGTGCGTTGCGCGAAAACGCCGTAGTAAGTTGACTCGAGCGTCCATGCGTTTGAGCGAAACTTAAGAAATCCATGCCTGCCTCTGCGAGCGCCCTCTAGCCGAACGTTTGTGCGAAAAGAACTGGGGCAGCGAGCAATGAAGGCAATCGGCCAACATCTGGCAATGATCGTTGGGATGTACTGAGAAATCAGGGCACGGTGCAAATAGGGCAACATGGTCAGCAAAAGCCTGCACAGCTTGTGGATCGATAAAGGCTGACGGGTCACATTTGACCTTCGGATACTCCGTGACTTGTCGGTTCTTGGGGAAGGTGAGGAGGATTTGGATTAAAGCCCCCACAGCCTTGTGATCCACTATGGAAATCGCCTAGTCGATATCGTCCTTGACTTCTGTCTGTAGTGCTAGTGCATCGCGTGAGCAAGCTATCTAATCAAGACGCCGTCCTTTTTTACTATTGGAACCTGTAGGAGCAAACCATGTGGCCCCACTAGTGCTTGAGGAGAGAACGGTAGTTGGTAACCAGAGCCGTCGTTTTAAGAGGGCCTCGTGAAAGCACTGACCAGTGTAGTTCTGGGGTTCCGGGTGCACGTTGCCAATGGCCTCTGAAACGTTGGACCCAATTTTAACATACGCACCAATGAGGTGAATATCTGGAATATCTGGATCAGGTAAGTGCCGTAAGCGTGAGGAAAAAGAGACCCACCTATCATCGATGGTCGCCTTGCCAGCTGCACTGTGGGGCGCGTGCCCGATGATCACTGAGCAAGCGAGGGGTAGCGAATAGAGCCTTGCAGCGTTTTGCTGTAAGCCTGTAAGAACCATTGTAGGTGCACTTCGTATTTATCCATAAAGAACATCCATGTCGGCGGTGAGCGTCAGCACTGGCGTGAATAGCGTGGTATTCTCCTACAGTACAATAACCTTCACGTGGGAAACGAGTTTCCACAGTACCAGCTAGGAAGACGCGGTGCTTGGTGAACATGTGGCCCAGATGGGCCATGCGACCTGGTAGTACCTTAGAACAAATCAGATTCTTGTTTGGCCCTGAAGGCCCTGGGGTCCAGGAGGGAGGAGGAGGGGTAAGCGGATGAGGAGGGGAAGGGGGAGGAGACGGAGGGGCAGGAGGAGGAGGAAAAGGGCGAACAGAAAAGCCAGACGCCTCTTGAATGCTTCTCGGAGATGAGCCTGAAGCCTCTTGAATGCTTCTCGGAGTCTCCTCCTCGAATGTCTCCTGGAAGCTGTTTGGAAATCGCTTGGGGCGTCTGGAAGGGGCATCTTGGCGGGCCCAAGGCTGTCTCCGAGCGTCTTGGGTGCCTCGGGGATCCTCTGGAGGCTTCTTAAGGGTCTGTTGGTAGCCTTTTGGAGGCCTCTGGGAGGCCCCTTTGGGACGTCTGGGCGTCTCTTGTGGTCCTCTTGGAGCGATCTTAGGAGCTTCAGGGCCGCTCTTAGGGCCATCTTGGAGCACAGCGATC